CTTTCCATTCCTTCCACAAAAACTCCCCCACACTGGGGCAGAACCCAGTAGCGGCGCCTGTAGCGATCCTGACCAAACATCATCGAACGCAAACAATGCGAAGCTTCAAACAACTTCTTCCTGTACTGGCTTTGTTGCTATTTAAGAAAGGGAGAGCATTATAAATCAGTGGAGGAAAAAAATCACATTATAATAGAAAACATCTGGCTGACAGACTGAACAGAATTTCAAGAGTCAGACAAGGAGGCCCTCTCAGAGATTCAGGATAGTGGTGTGTCTGTGTGTTATGTGACATTCTACTCACAATTGCTGCCTTGATGATTTTACTTACAGAGCTCCCTGGAAAACAAATCAATTAAAGCACTCTCTGGCTCAGCCTAAGTTTATCAGTTTTCCTCTAAAAACACACTGCAATGGTGAACCCTGTCTTTTTAGTCCTAACTTTCAAAAAGCAGTGGATCGAGAATTTCATTGCACGACAACAGCTGAAATCCTAAGTTATACAGCATCAGAAAATGGTAAACAGAGCCCTGAAGACAACTGATAGTGCAGCTGCTAACAGGAGACTGATGAAATATTTTAACCATTCGCAAAAGAACGAGAACAACAACCCACAAAAATAAATTCTGTCTTCGAACATAACACAGTGCTTTAAGTGAGACCAACAAGAACTTCAGTTTGTTTATTCAGCCCTTCCTCTGCTAAACTGACACTGCTGGGATTCATGTGGAATTGCGGACTGCTAATTTACTGCAATTTGGAACACGAGAGAAACCAAAATACAATGCCTTAAATGACAAATTTTCTAATAGGAACAATAAAAACATGGGCCATGAGTACCCCTGATTACAGCATTATGTTTTTCTCATTTATGCTTCTCTTCCTATTCCATTGCTGCTGTTTTCAAAATGTGCAGCCCAGAGAGCTGCAGAAATCAGCACGGAAAGGAGGGCCTAAGAACCACAATCCRTTGAATAACTGAAGCCATTACTTCTCATATACAAAGTTTGTCATCACTTTCCAAGATCAACAAACAGGAGTATATTAAGTAGACCTGGATAAAAACTGCATTACTTTTTATTCTCAGAAGTGCAAATATAGTGTCAACTCTTATTATTAACTGCCTTTTCATTGACATCCACTTAGTGCCACTGAACTGACTGAATTCAAAWTGCAGGCATCATGAATAGGAGCATTAATCATATTTTCACAAAACAAGAGCTGGTACTTATTTTAGTATATATTAAGTTGGACCATTGAAAATTATGTTTAATATGCTAATTCATAACATCCAGTGATCAAATCTGTAGTACAACAAAGACTAATGATCTCTCACCTTTGCCAGTTTTTCGATCTGCTTCTCTAGCTCTTCAACACTTGCTGTCTGGTCCCCATCATCCTGTAATTACCAAATATACTGTCACACCAAATTTATTTCAGGATAAAATCATACTACTAAGTCTTATCATTATTACAGGAAAAAGACGTAACAGAAAATGAGAGGCAAATACTGTGGGGGAAAAAAAAGAGTTCAAGCTGTCGGCTTGTCCAATACATTTCACCAGCAACAACGTAACTGAAAAGAAGACGCATATTGAGTCTTTTCACACCACCCCAGATGCAGATAAAGGAGAAAGCTCTTGGCCAAACATTAGCTGAAAAGTGGAAGTAACTCTATGCATAAACACAACATTATATAATTTAATCTTATTTTCTATGAAGCTTTTTAGATTGTCAAAACAATTTTAGGTTTCTCATGCAGGAAATAATGGCATCTCTTAAAATCTTATCAGTAAAGTCTTTGGTCTGTCCACATTCGCATTTTATTTCAATGTCTACATGGAACTGTAGAGCCACTTTAAATTACAACTCTGCTATAAAAGTTACAGCATCAATCTTGCTGACTTTTGGAGACAATTGCACCCATGATTAAGTCTGTGGCTGTCTTCTTCTTGAATGTTTAAAAATGAGAGTATTTTCCATGAAGAGAGTTAGAATTTAGTTCAAGAAAGTCTTTGGAGATAACAGCAAGTTTCCAAAAGAACGTGGCCAAAATCATCCACAGCATGAGATACAAGTCTTGTATTTCTTGGCTCCATAAAAGTGTACCAGAGTGAAGCTTCTGAAATACCACATAGAAAACAAATGCAGTGGAACTTCTGGTAGATCAGAAAATGTGTTTCTCTACAGAGTTACTGGAATTTTGTCTATGAAAATGCCCAGTGCGCCAACACAGGAGATTGCACAAGAGGGAAAAGGATTAASGGATCAACTTGAGATTAGAAATTTAAATACCACTTATTTTTATTTCTGAATTATTTTTAAGAACTTTAAAAAAAGGGCTGTTCATCTAAGGCATTTTCTTAAATTCATACAAATTCTAACACTTGAAATAAATCCAGAAAAATAGCACAAAGGGCTGCTCCTGCTTTAGAAATTAGCTGGGTATCTAATAGAAGGGTGTATGCAAAGATCTGAGCTCACATATGCTGGATACATGCACTGTTTAAGGAGTCTTAAAAATCTTTCTCAAACCTTGCATGAATGGATAATTTTCTGGCAAACAGAAAACACCCAGTACAACACCAAATGCACTAAAATGTAGTATTTTGTATTACTTGTGCCTTGCATCAGGTTCAGTCCAGTGGAAGTCTGTGCATTTCTATTTAAAATCAGCTCAACAAACTAAAAATCTTTCAGTGATGCTTCCTGTGTTGTATCTGACACTGAGTAACAGAATTTATCATGTTACGATCAAACACAGTTGGCAGTGACCACCTGGGAGAAGTTGTGAAAAAAATACACAGGAAGGTGAGTCAAGCTTCACAACAGAGAATGTTAAATGCAACTTTACTCCTCTATTTTTTAGTTAACAAAATTATAAAAATGAATAAAAATTTGATAACAGTGGAGGTACGWTATTCTTCCTTCCTTTTTACTGCAGCATTTTGGGGAAACAGTGCCATACCACAGAAAAATAGAAGGAAAACAAGTTTCAGTTTACTGGCAAATTAAGTTTCACTACACTTAAAATTCCCCACCTCATCCTCACAAACTTCTGCCTTCTTTCCTTTTTTATCATCTTTGTCCTCTTCATCCTCATCGTCCTCATCCGCCTGCTCATCGCTGTCCTCATCATCGTCATCGTCGTAGTCGCTGTCCCCTCCCTTGCGCCGCCGCTTGCGCCCGGGCGTCGGCGTCTCCAAGGAATGGGGCTCCTCGCCCCCGTCCCCACCCCCTGCAGCATCTCTTTTACCCGTTTTCTTGGCATGAATGATTCTAAGCCTTGGAAGATATGAGAAAGGCTGAAATTATGATTACGTCTGTAGCATAAACATACCTCTCTTCCTATGCGATGAAAAGAAAATCATCCATTTCAGATTCAAATTAGAGCTTCTGTTCTATCACGACACTCAATTTTTTAAATATTTTTGTCACTAGTCAACAGGAAAAACAGAGGTTATAAAACCCCTTACACCTCATTGTTCCCTTCTAAATAGACTTTGTTTCTCCCAGGTGAATTTTATTGTGCAACTGCTCAGAAGATATTAAACACAGGAAGGATTTTGGGAAGTAAGGAAAGAAGATCAGAAGTAAGAACCATTTCAACTTCTTTATCTTTTATTTAATGCATTTAAGAACATGGTAACAAGATACTTGGGTCTGAGGAGTGGAGGGAAAGGCAAAAATCCTCACTTGGAAGTAAGAAATTATTCACATTGCATGACAATGGCAAGGTTGGTTTAATTCTTTTTCTTTTTTTTCMGATTTTTATGAACTTTTACTATTGTTTTACTTTAGTCCTTTAGCTGATCTTTTAATTCTAAGACATAGGTTTTTTTATTTCTGTGGAATTTTAGCTACCTCAGCTACTAAAGATTACTCAAACTGTCATTTTTCCTTTGATGAAAGAAAAGGGAAACTTACATACCAGTTATTATAGTTGTAGTAGACCTTCTTCTTCTACAAAACCCCTATAAGACAAGATTCCACACAGCAAAAATTACAGTTCCACCTATCAGGGAGCTTGCAGGCAAACATGCTGAACCACAGGAGGTGCAAATAGCCAGGCTGAACCAGTCACTTATCACGCAGACCAAAAACGCAACTGACTTAGAAGAGATTCATAAACGTGTAGAAAAGACAAAGATTTTGTAAGAGATGACTGGAAGAAGGTAGGATGGGAAAAGTAGAACGGTAACGACAAACACAATTACCAGGATGTAATTTTTCCTTGTCGTACTCCTCTCTCTTCCCATCCTAGAGAACAATATTCCATACAGCAAGTGGCTACAGGTGCAGTGAGTGCTGTCCAAGTACAGTCTCCAGGGAACACTGACAAACACATCAGCCTTCCAAAGTGCTGATAAACAGAGTCAATACTCAACAGCACAGATTCAAATGAAGGTGCCACTTCAACTGGGAGCAGCACTTTTTTAGAAAAGACTGTTAGCCAAGAAATCATCAAGGGAACTGGAAAACTACTGGGCTTAGGTTTTTTGGTGTGGTTTTGTTGTTGCTGTTGCTGTTGCTTCGGCTTGGGTTTTTATGCAGTGGTTACTCCACTAGAGAATTTCTAAAATTATATACATTTATTTTTCCAAATCAAATGGATGTTTACTTATTTCAGTGATTTAAAATAAGGGTTTTTTTTTTAATATTTCTCAGGCCTCTCAATGAATTTGGAAGCAAATAACATTTTCAGATGTGGTACAAAAACCCTTAGTCTCACCGAGCATCAATACTACTCAGGCTACTGAATTATGTTTTTAGAAAACCAATTTCCTTTTTATGAGGATAACTTCAAACCATCAAACCCTCTTCACCTGGACTGGAAATTCCTGCCCATACACAGGAATTAACTATCAAAATCACTACTCCATGACTGTATTTGAAGACAACTCGGTAATAAAGTTGGCAAGCAAACATTCAATGACCTGCAAACACCTCTTTCATATACCTAAAGGAGGCGAGAAGTAAAAAAGGTTACTTTTGCTGAAAGCAAAAATAAAGATGTAATGCTGTCAAGCACTAGAGGAAGCTCACACCACAGTGCCAAATATGAAGGATGCAAATGAACCACAGATGCTCTTCTCTGTAGCACAAAGCTTAAGAAGGCAGAAGCCTGAACTCAAAGCAGTGCAGAAGTAGAAACCAATGCCACTGTAACTTTCAAAATGTCCAGCTATTTTAAGGAGCAGTATAATTCTTCTGCTGCTACCTACACCTATGGCTCACTGAGAGAAAACCCTCACCCAGGAAACTGTTCTGCCTTTCTCACTTCCAGGTATGGACCAAACCCGCGTCTGCAGCTGCTGAGAGAATGAGGAAGTCTACTGGCCCATGAAGAGTGGGGGCTGATCAGAGAACCTGATGAGTGACTTAAGCCTCTCTAATCTGATCTATAATGTTTAGTAGGTCACAAAAGAAAAATTCACCTTCTGTCTGACCTAATTTTCATGCCTTCCCCATCATTTTTGCACGTAAGTATTATGTAGCACCAAGGCAAAGAAATTCTGAATATGCTTTTAACATATTTCACCCCGTGTTTCAAAAAATGAAGGTTCTTCAAATCAGCATTAGCATATCCTACCCAAACTCAGGATGCAATTTCTCCCCTCTGTGACACTGCTTTTCATATACCATCATTTACAGGTGAAATGATGTCATTCAGCAGAAAGTAACTTACACAGAGCATACCATAACAACAGCATGTTAAAAGAACACCGTTGCAGTGAAAAACTTGTTTCAAGTCTTGTAAAAAAATAGATTATTGCCTAATTCTTCAAGTGGCTATATTTCATTTTTATTCTGTTTCATACTGATCAGGCTACAAAAGAGATGTCGAAGGAAGATGTTTAATGGAAAAGGAGATACCGAGGCCTTGTTTAAAAAAAAAAAAAAAAAATCACAGAATCATCTTAGGTGAGACAGTCTTCTGAACACAGCTGTCACACACAAAGAAAGAACTGATTGTATGGGATAGGCACCTTTACAAAAAAGGTGATTAGTATCAAGATTTACAACTAAATGTGATAGAGAAGGAATTAAATGCAACCTCTCCTTGACCATTAGCTATGCAGAAACAGTCCAGGCAGTTCAGAATTCAATTTCCAACCATATCCATTACACTTACTAAGGTCCCTGAGGGAAGGAGGAGAAGAGGAGGGAAAAGCAGAGACAGCGGTGAGATGGAAAGCATCATTTAAAGTAAAATACAATGATTCATTTTTCCAACGTGGGATTTTAGTGTTATTTATTTGTATCTTTCAAGCACAGGCTTTTCTATTTATTCTTCTCTCCTCCCCAGCTGAGAAGCTTATGTCACTAAAAAGTGAAAACATAAGCACAAAAAATATCCCTCAGTGAACGTATGTGATACAGATAGAATCTCTTCCCATCCTGCCTGGATTTATTTCCAAGCAGCCCAGACACAGTGGTTTGAAGCCTCACGGCAGTGAACACAGGCTGAAATCACACAAACCCATTCCTCAGCCTCTGCTCTTTATCCCCTACAAACCCTCACAAGAGGGGCATATAAAGGTCTGTAKGGATGTGAAAAGAAGCCACAGCTGCTGATCACACAGCGAGGACCTGACTAACCAGATATTGCCATGCAAAGCCTGGGATGCTAAAAATTACACCAAGATGTGAATGGAAAGGGAGGGTAACTTGCAAGAGTAAGTCTGGAAGCAGAAAAAAATACCAAAACGAAGATTGAAGTGTACAGATTTCTTTTCAGAGAAGACCCAGAACAGTTTTAAGGGTTTATGGAAAACACAATGGACATAATAAAGAAAACATTGTTTAAAATTAATCAAAGGYGGCTCTTCTAAAACCTTCCTGGAGTTCATCAGAAAAACAGTGGAAATCCAGAAATTTTGCATCAAAGATAAAAGAGATGAGTCAAGCCCAGTGAGTTCAAAGAGGCAGAAGAGCAACAMTTCTGAGCTCTGCTGTGATATTTGTGCTCAAAAATAGGGAGAGCACTACTGGAACCATGAGGGTAGAAAACAACCAACGGAGAAATGCTTGTAGCAAGGAGGAGCTTGGAACTTGAGGGCATTATGCTGACTATTTGACAGGAAAGAAGTAAGAGATTATAAGGAAAAGGGAAGATCCTACATCTACAAGTACTTACAGTTTGATGGAGGGAGAGAAAGACTAAGCAGGCCCCTAGGAAGACAAGGACAGGGAAGGATCCCATTTCACTAATGGTAAGTTGGCTACATCAGAACCTCAAAAACTCTTTTTACACTATATCCCATAGAGAAGATACAGATGAAGACAGGAAAAAGTATCTGGTTTACCCTAAAGGATGAAACACATTAATCTGTGCAGACTGGAATTTGCAGTATTAGAGAATTTCTTTTTATTGGTCTAATTTTTTTCCTCTACCTCCCTCTTGTCCTTCTTCTTTACTTCTTTCCTTCTTCCTTCTGAGGTACATTAAAGGGAAAAAATGGAAACATGAGATTAGAAACAAAAGTACCTAAAGCAAGGACCAAGAAAGGATTTACCATTCCTAGGAAGAGGTAAAGATGACAAAGAAAAAAGCAGAGTCTGGCTATGCATTTTTACCCCCTGTGTTTCATTAACTTTATGCCGTCCAGCTTCCTGATAGTTGGAGCCAGTATGCTTGCTGTATGGAATTTTGTCTTGTAGGATGGGAGAACAGTGAATATGAAACTGACAAACCTTCAAAAGTTCCAATTTTACCTTAAATATAAATACAAAAATAATTTTAAAATCTCAAATCTTACATTCTACGTATGATTCCTAGCTACAGGGAACGTGACACTGACAGATGAGAAACACTAAGATAACATAAATTAGCAAAATTCTATTGGCAATTGTATGAAGATCACGTTGTCTTAAAACACCTTTCAGAATGAACACTGGAATTATGGTTGGTCCAAATAAACTTTGATTATATATATAGCAATTTTACAGCTCCTTTAACATTTCCATTAAAAAGTTTTTGCTTTCTTCCAAATACAAAATACTTGACTTCGCTCCCGTTCTGAAGGACACTAACCCTTTGAACTTCATGCATCTTTAATAGACTGTAGAACACTGGTGTTGCAACATTCCAAATTCACATCCATCTTAATTAAGCAGTTTGGTTACTAATTGCTTGGTAAACCTGAAACTGCGTGAGGTGATTTTGTGCTTAGAACCAGTTCCCTATATAGCAGCGTATATGAACAAAGACAAAAAAGCAATATAATATTCAGTAAATGAAACTTACTTCCGAAGTTTGCCTTCAACCATCCATTTATCTCTCCTTAAGTTTGACATATAATCAATGTTTTTATCAATTTCACTGTCAAAGATGAAAATAATCCATTAACTGTGAATTTACGTATCTTTTTCTGACAGACATTTATGTACAGACACTTACCCCTCAAATAACTGTCTTCGAGAAATGGTTAAAATTCAAAATAAAACATTTTAAAGCTAGAAAATCACAATACTAGGAATGCCAATGTAGCGCACTGCTGTAGCTAGCTTAGTCTTTATCCACAGCATCACCTCAGTTGTCTTTCCACAACAAACACAGTATTATTCAACATTCATAGCTCTAGTTTAGTGTCAAGCCTCCAAATATCTTTGCCACAAAACGTGCCAGCCTGTGCTGAAAAAACAGTTACCACTGGTACGTCTGAGATACTCTGCCTCGGATCCCTGGGATCTATACTCCAACATTCACTYCGCACTGCAGACACTGAAGGACCAAAAAAAAGGCTTTGGTACAGTCACCATCTGCAAAGGCACTTCCACGACATCCCTGCCTCAATAACTCAGCAGAGATTATAGTTGTTTCTATAATCAAAATACAGAAACTCAGGTTCTGAGTGATCATTTCTATGAACAGGACTCAACAGTCAGCTGCAACGAGAGGAAGTTTCTTTCTATGATGAATTCGATTGATACACATGAACTTCTTGCACAGCCCATGCACCTGCACTGCCCACTTCTGCTATTCTTCAACTACAGAAAACCTGAAGCATCTCTTGCATTGCAGCCTCACACAACCCTGATTCACTTTTGCAGCACCAAAGCCAGCAGAATGCACCAGGAAACCAAGCAGMACTCAATTAGGCAACGAAAGACTTTACCACAGGAAGTCAGTCTGTGGAACAACGAGCATTTCCTAACTTTTAATTGCATGTTGGTGGGTTTTGATAAGTTGTTGAACACAGGGAGGATTTAAAGTTCTGAAATGCTTTACACTGCTGACCAAAATGCAATATACACTTTCTTCAATTACTACGATGATACATCAAGTTTGCCACCTCATCTTACGACCTTAATCAAAGTACATGGACAACAGGTATCTTCAAAARAAAGTGAAAAAAGGAAAAATAGAATATTGCAAAAGCCTTGAACAACTACTCCAAATTATTCCCTAGAATACCTAGCAAATTTCTTTGTAATCAACCTCATCTTTTATTCCAAAAATTGTTGGAGAAATGTAGGTGTAAGCTTTGAAAACAAAATTACAGATATAAACATGGAAAAGTTCTATTCTTCCCTTAGATCAACAGGACATAAAGGTAGGAAACAGTAACTCAACCAATTTCAGCTTTCATTACAAGAACATCAGTAATCCTCCTGTAAAAGAACACAGTGAATACACTGTATTTCTGAACTACAACATTTTTATAATTGTATTTATGCACACCCGTTTGGGAAAAATCTTACCTTACTACACTTTTGCTGCATGCTAACTCGTTGACCAGAAAAGCAAGCACTGATGCTTTCTGAGCTGGAGAATGTGCCTGAAAAGCTTTTGTCTTCAAGCTCTCTGTCAAATCTGTTTGCCCACAGTGAGCCTCCATGAAAATCTGCAGAATCTCAGACACATTATCTCTATTGATACCAACATTCAGTAAGTGTTCCCCAAGAATAGTTTTAGCCTAAAAAGAACAAAGACATTTCAAACAATCACGTTTAAAAGATCCTATTTTCCTCTGCAGGCTATATTATTGCTTATAGAAGATGGTATGGGTTTGTTTGCATTTCTACATAAGGACTTTAAACACGATTAATGTTTAAAATTATTCAAATATATGCCTTAAATGTAAAAACAAATTACAAAGTCTTCAYCTCTAAGTTTTTACAAACAGAGATAACATTTACAATAATTAAATAGATTACATGTAAAAAAGACATGGTGCAGCTGAAAATTAATGAATACTGCTTTTTACAATGGCGCTATGGAGAGTTCTAGAGTGGAAGAAAGCTCTATTGGCTTGAAAAACAAGTTCAGTAAGAAAAAGCGTCATGCATGAACAGATGTTTGATGAAGTGACCTAGACAGCAGACCCTGGGAAACAAATGACAATATTCACTGAGAATATAACATGAGGGTAGAATGCAAAGATTCCTTTGGGCAGAAAGGAATAAAAAGACATGGCCACAGATGTGACAGTGACCTACAAAAGGTCCAAACAAAAATGGGATGTGTGTTTGTGTGCAGAGAAAATGCACAGAAATATATCATTTCTGGAAAATGGGAAGGCTGATGGGACACAACCTTTTGAGGTAACATTAAAACCGTGACTCTGAAGAAAATAATTGGGAAAGAGAATGGAAATCCAAATGAGACAGGTATCAGAGATGCACCATGAAGAATGCATTCACATACACAGGGTGTTCACCATGGATTTTTTCCTGTTTTTTCTTTTTACCTTGTATCCTGTACCAAGTCCTGGATCGCACACAGCTGCAGAGACAAGTTTCACAAGCAAGTCCTGTACTTCTCCCATGCTGTCCCCTATGTTGAGCAAACCCTCTTGAAGAACAYTCAAGGAGGGAACATCTATGGTCACATCAAAGCCAAGAACTTTACCGAAGTTACGCAGGAACTGCACTACCATGAGACAATCCGAAAATGTGCTTCCGTCAAGAACAAGGCCTGGGATGCGAGGCAGCTCTGGGAAAGGCTGGAAAGTAAAAAAAAAAACAAAAAAAACAACAAAACAACAAAAGGAAAGATTCAGTAGCCTATTTCAAAAGAAAGGTTTTTTGTACCAACTGAGAAATCTGACTGACACTTTGACACTTTCTTCTGATCTACAGCATGACAATGCTGGAATGTTCAGCTGATAGGGAACCTGCCCTCCTCATCCATTCAATGCTGAAATCCATTTACCTTTTCACAAATTAGGGGAGGCAAGAGATAAAGAAATACTTCCTCTTTGGCCAGAAGACACTGCCAGGTTCTATACTGAGCCAAATTACTGTAAAAAGTGGTGTAAAATTAGGGGAAAAGGGGAAGGTATTTCTCTAGAACTTTGAACCAAAGCTTTGTCCCATGCTTAAAGACAAGAACTCAGAATTCAAAGACTGCGCAAGTTTGTTTTGAGCAACAGCTTGTAAGAGTTGTCTAGATGATTACCTAGTGCCTGTGTACTAAGACAGACATGATGCATATTCCTGATGTAAAAATAACTCAAGAGTAAAAAATTTTATTGAAGCAATCATGATTTTTGGGCACCAAGCCTCTTTTAAACAAAAAACTTTTAATTAACTGAATATAAACTACTGTGTAGAGTTCTAGTATCTTGTATTTGTGTATATTTCACATAGTTCTCTTATTATCTGGATTAAAACTTGAATGCTTTGAGTGTGGCTGCAAGAAAAGAAGTTATCAGCAGACATACACAAACAAGAGACAATAAAATAAGTTTATGTTGCTGTGATTACCTTCTGGTCTGCTAAGCACATATCTTCATTAGGCTTCTTTAGCTCTTTTGCCATTTCCAATTCCAGTCTTCGCTGTTCCAGTTTACGTTCTTTATTTAATCGTTTTTCATCACGTTTCTCTTGCTTTAGCCGCTCTTTTTCCTTAAGCAGAATTAAAAGGGAAGAAAATAAACCGCATAAATTAAACTTACAAAGAAACAATCTAAGAATGTGAGAAGCACTATTTATGTAACCACAGTAATTACCACAGCAATTAAAGAACCTGCATTAACGCAAAGGGGAAGGGAAAACTAGAACACAATCACTGAATTTGTAAAAGGATCTGAGATTCACTTTTTTCCTCCTTAATGGGTTTTAAATATGTTTGCAATGAAAAGTTCTTTGAAGTGCCATTCCAGAAAGATGAGCGAGTCAAAATACGGCTAAGAACTGCCATGCAAGGCATCTGATTTTAAAGGCTCTGCTTACACACCAATATAATCAATCTGCATCTGCTACAGCAGAGACCACTCAAGAAATCTCTCTGAACAACGTAAGGTTTACAAAGTCCCATAATACATGAACCGGGTATGAATCCCTTATAAAACACAACCAATCTTTCCAAACACAGGTGGCTTCTGGCCTTGAATTACCACGCACTTTGCATGCAGCCTGAAAACTGAACAGTTCTTTATGTCTTATCTGCACAACAAGAACACAGGCATCATCAAGTGAGAAGCCAAGCATCTATTATTTGTGTCTTCAACACCCTCTACAGTGGTGTCACACACAATACTCCTCTAATTCTGTCTCTAATACACCAAGRCTGACTCTGAACCTGGAGCTCCCAGGGCTTTTCCATCCCCGGTGCCAGGGGATCTGCCTGCCACGTGTTCAACACCAATCCGCTGTCCTAACGACACAATTCCCTACACACTTCTGGGCAACCAATACCGAGTGTAAAAGGTATGGAATCTGTCACACGGCAATGCCACCTCTTCAGAGCAGAGAACTGTGCACATAAACAAAGACATCGGGCTGTGTGTGCCACCACTGCAGCACCTGATACAGTCCTGAGCTGAAGACACTCTATGTGCTTTTCACCTGTGGACACACAAGGGTTAAAATCCAAGCCAAACTGCTTCTCGTTGCTCAGAACCACTCCCCACTATTCTGTTCACTCCTGTTCACGTTCTGTCCACTTCAAGAGGACGCTCTAGTCCTCTCCCATTTGCTATCACCTTATTTTGCATCGATGAGAGTACGGGCAATACGAAGTCAGGGCTCAGCTGCATTTGCAGATCAGTATCAACCACTGACTTCTCTGTAGAGCTTCGGAAGGCCCCGGGACATTTTTAATTTTTCCTTTTCATTCTGTACAGAATGTTACCAGACCACTGGTGACACCTGTGGACTAGGAGCACACAGAGATCATGACTTCTACTGCTACAGTCTTTAGAGAATTTTATGCAAGATCCAGTTTCACACTGGACACAAAGAACATTTTTGGACCAGTAAATTTACACTGGCAGAAAAAAGAGCAGGGACATTGAGCACTACCCATCTGCCCACCTGCTTGCTGCCCTACAGCTGTATTTGCATCCTCTACACTGCCAACACAGGCCCTCTTATCTAAGGTGAGTTCATAAGGGACATCTTGTATGGAAAAATCACAATGCACTAAAGCAGCACACAAAATCCCTAACTTGATTTTAAAACAGAAAATACTCTCTGATCTGTTTTCTGAAAATGGTTTATTGCCTTTTATCTCAGCCTTATGTCAAGATCTCAAAGCCAAAGTTTCCTACAACTTGTTTTTGCCAATTCAAAACACTCTACTAAAAAAGGAAACAAGGGATGTATAGACAGATATTTATGTGGCAACACGTTTATTTATGGTCACGACTAAAAATCAAAGCTTTAACTGGACCAAGTTTCATRAATCTATTTAAAGTTTACTTTTACTGGTTGAAATAAACATTGTTCTAGTTCTACTGGAGTAAGAATATAATTCTAGAACTAAACAACCATTTAACCTGGTATCATGATTCCTAACAGCAGAATAGGGGCCTAGGGTATCATCTTCCTCTATGTCCTTGCAATGAAATATTACTCAGTTTTTCTTGGTTTTGGTCAGTCACTTTTATAGAAGTTTGTGAATACATCCTACAGAAAAGTTTTAACAATTTTTTTAATGATTACTTGCTATAATGATGATTATCTTATTTCAATATCTTATTATCTATACTTTATTTACAAAGTTCTTGGGATACAGACATAAAGTCTCAGGATATAGAGAAATATATAAAAAGTAAAACAGAAAGTTAGTAATTATGGAGTTCTTATATTTTACTTATGTTTCCTCCCAAAAATAACCATAACTCTCAAAACTGTGCAATCTGTGCCAGTGTTCAACCATCTCCCTCCAAGTACAGAAGTTTTTTAAAGTTTGAGCAGAATTTCATGTATTTCAATTTGTGCTTAATGCTTCTTGTCCTATCGCTGCAAAGTTTACTAATTAAATTATACACACACTGCTTGTTTACAGATGACTGCAGAATGAAACCATGAAAACTTCAAACTTTCATTTTATACTTTAATACTCACTTCTGCTTTTTTACGTGCTTCCATGGCTTTCATAAGCATCATATGTTGTCTCCTCCGTTCTCGCTCCTATTGAAGCAGGTAATATTAGAACAAAACTAATCCACATTTTCAAATCAGTAAAAAAGCCAAGTGACAAATTGAGCATTAATAGACAAGTCACAGTAAATACTAAAATATAGAACAAGAATGGCCAAGTCTGTGCATGTTTTAGTTCAGGTTTAGAAAGCAAATACAAGAACAATCAAAAGCAAAAAGGTAAAGCAATGAACATGGAGACAGTGTAAAAAAGAAGCATACAGATTTACTTATGGTCAGTTGTGATGCTCCTTCATAAGCTGGCAGAACAAAAAGCRTAATGGTTGGCTGGAACAGGTCAGTTACCTTACATCTGCTATGACGGAACTTGCAATTTACTTCTTCAATAGCCAATTCAGAAGAAATTTTAAACTGGTCTTTTTCAAACATTGCAAATATAAACATTTTTGTAACCAAGAAACAAATTAACATGATAAATTTTATCAGCTCTAGATCAGTTTTAATCAAGCCACTAGTGGTGCATACACATATGCAGCAACACTTGCATTTACTGATGCCTATCCCTCAGTAAATTATGTCAGGAGCTTCAAATGCCTTCAGGAGCAGGGTTCTACAGCACCAAGGAAAGGGGTTTTGCCCCAGCCGCTGTAGAGCAAATCTTGGCTGCGGTAAAAGCTATGGGAATTTTGTCATCCAATTTGGTGAGGCTAGGATTACATTCTAATGTTTCATTGTATAACACTATGTATTTACCACTGACTGAAAGCTAATTTCCTCAGTATCTTACAAGGGGAAGACATAATCCTGACTTCCAAAACAGGTTAATTCAAATTGTATTTGAATTGTCTGGATTCCTTCCCAGTGAATGGGACAAGCCTTGCAAAAATCATCCAAGTGACTACCTATTAATTTTGCGTCAATCCCTRATTTTATATACTAAGCAAATTTCTACTGGGACATCAGTAACATAGATCCCTGGTTAAAAACYACATTTAGTTATTGCCACGTTCAATTTATACACATGTTCAAGACATGTCTTTTTTTTCCTTAACAGACAAGACAAGCAGATGTATGCAATGCACTGTGCTGTAAAGCCATGCAGCAGTATGTAATATGACAGCAGCCAGTGCTACATTTTATGCATTGCTATGACAACCATATCACAACCAAATCACAATGCGGTGTTAGATGTACAAAAATAAACATACCCATACCATATCTAGTCTATGCCTCTCCAACTCCTGGTAGAAAGAGTTGGCACAACATTATGAAACAGAAATCACAAAGTCATAAAATCACTTTATAATACCCCAAGAGACCCCAATACCAAAGCAAAGCAAAAAAATCATAAGGTGAAAGAAAATCTGTGCAGGAATTAAACCCAGAATTTTAAAAAGGGCATACTTCCTTGAAGATTCCACCCCCCATATAACTTAAAGTAGTAGCTCACAATTGGCATTCGGTCTGTTTGGTCAAGTGAATGTATACCAACCTGGTGCTTCAGAAGAACAGCCTGCTGCCTTCTCATCTCTTTCTCCTTCAACAGAAGAACAGAAGTGTATTTAAAAAATCAGTCAAAATTTACTTACCAAATAGCACAGTTTTGGCACACTAAAGCAGCACATTTGAGTTAAATTCTAACTTTCCTGACCCCATGAACTGAGCACAGAGAAGTACACACAGTATACATGACATTAAGTCTGGTGAGCTGGAAGTTTCATGTTAGAACACACCTAGAATGCCAAAGCAGCAACAGAAGTACACACACACACACATATAGATATACATACACACACACTGTATTTCCCATTATTTGTACATATGTTCCATAGTCTGTATGCATACAGCCTAGAAAAGACTATTTTGGCCAAGAAACAACATAGTTTTTTGATACAGTGTGGTTAAAAGAATATTTTGAGTAAGGTTTTAAGTAATGTTACTGCACAAACATTTTGTTATGCAAAGCAGGTGTCATGTAAGCAAAACTCACAGTAATGGCACATAAAAAGTACTGTCTCTATACATCATGTGTGTATGTCATACATACACAAACTCCTCTGCATATGCTTCCTACCTTTGTATAAATATATATACATGTCTTTATACGCTCTCTCTATGTACAACTTCATTATCGATGAATAGTCTCCCAAATTTATTGCTTTCATACATCAACATACATTCTGTACAATAACATACTTCTTATATTTGGAGCTCCTCCAAACTAACCTTTATTCGTTTTTCGGCCTCCAATAATTTGGCATTTGCTGCTTCTTCCTTCTTTTTCTTTTTTGCCTGTGCATGCAAAATAGGTCACACAACAGCACCATCACAMCTTGAAAATAATCTGACTAGAAACAAATTTATGTACTTTTAAAAGTTAAAAATATCACCACTTTTTTTGCACATAGCAAGAAATTTCTGACGCAGCTTTCACAATCAATCAACTCATATTTCAGTTACTTTTTAAAAACTAGACCAGAATTTCAAATCCCACTCAAAATTGCTTCACCTGGCTATTTTAAGAAAGCAAGTACACACAGAAACAATACTAATGGCAAAGAGATTACTATTAATTTTTCTATCAATGGATACTTGAAACCTGGCAATCTATCTTTCCTAGTACACTAGGAAACCTGTAGAGAACACTCTAATACAGACAGTAATTTAAAATTCAATGTAATTCGTACAGAGCAGAGCATTATGCTATTTAAAATCCCATTACTGCAAACTTCTTTTGTAACAAAGGAATTGCTCTGCCATTAACCTGAATAAACACAAGACTATTCTGGTAGAAATCATGAGCCCAAGTGAACTTGAAATTAATTTTTAAGATTATGGATCACAGTTGATGTTGCTCTTTTGACAAAAGTATTTTAAGACACATTTTTGAACTGGTCTTTGGAAACCCAGATTTTTAGAGCTGCTGTATTTAGTTTCATTTCAAGCTACACATGTGGCAATTAGAAAACAACATTTTTTATAATGGCAAAAGAAAAATTACATTTGAGTCATTATATTCACCTCTAAAATTTGCTGAGCTCGAAGTTCTTTCTCCAATCTAATTTGCTGGATTCGCTTAATTTTTTCCTACAAGAGTAAGAAAGATATTTCTTAAAAAAAAAAAAATTAAGGAAATGAATGCTTACATKTGAACAATGACAACATGAGGGTAAAGCCCATCTGTACAGAATATATTGTTTTCTGTGAGCTGGTCTGAGACTCTAGAACACGGACCACTCTAAAATTTTACTCTCTGGAGAATACACAGTGATGTATATACTTCATCAAAAAATAACTAAAACCAAAAACAAGCCCCTAAGAAAAATTATCTAAAATATTACACACTAAAGGAGAATTCAGATGCGAAAGACATACAAAATTTCCTGACAAATAGAGTTCCAATACACTCCCAGCAAATCTTACCAGCTCCTTAAACTGTTGAGAAGTCCAACATAATACCACCTTATCAAATAAATTAATTCAGAAGCCTTGTGCAGACAGTGCTGAACCTTTTTCACCATGTGAAGTCCACAGCATGGACCTTGAGTTTCCATTATCCCCCATTATACTTTAAAACGAAAGAGTACACAAGTTGAGAGCATGTACACCACCCTCTCAGCTCCACAAGGGTTACAGTTAATACACAACAAACTTTTCTGAAACTCCCTGACAAGACGGGGCAGTCAGGCAGAGGGCGGCTTTGGTACCAGGGAACAAAGGTCAGAGCAAGAAGAAACAGCCTCAAATGGTACCAAGGGAGGTTTCCCTTGGCTGTGGGGTAACATTTCCTCATGGAAAGGGTAGTCCAGCCTGGGCAAATGCTGCCCAGGGCAGCAGTGGAGTCCCTGTCCCCAGAGGAACTTGAAAGCCATGTTGATGTGACACCAGAGACACGGGCTAGGGACGGATTTTGTGGAGTTAAGAATTGTAAGTAAGATACACTGTATGCTCTTTAGAATTTGATTCAAAGCACACACTTTGTAATCAGCATACTTAGTAATTGAGTAAATACTTGAAACACACATAATTGAATGATTTAAAACATAATTTAAAGATCTTATTTAGCAATTGCATAGTTTACCTGTTGCTTCATTATCTTTATCTGCTCCTTTTGCTTTCGTTTCTCTTCAGCTGCCATAATAGCTACCAAACAAAACCAAACAGAAATCAGGAGACCATAGCAAGAGACAGGTAACTTTTCATTCAATAATCTACTAACATGCCCACAGTTTCACAAGTAATATCTACCTTGCTGTTTTTTTGCTTCTTTGGCAGCTCGTGCTTGTTCCTGCTTCTGAAGCTTTCTCAGTAGCTTTATTTGTGCTGCTTGCCTAGCTATTTCTGTTACAAAAAGAAAATATTAAGTTCATAAAAACAGTGCGGTCCAACAATAAAGATATAATTCGTGTTCCAGACATTTGCATGCTATAAAGATAGAGCAAACAGARTATTTGTTTTGCATACACTGATTTTTACAAAATTTTTCTATCAATTATCATTAATGGCATGTCATGTATCAGTAACCACATCAACAGTACAAATGAACATGGATACTTTCTACATAAAATGAAATACTGGTTTTGGAGGAAAAAAGTTAAGGGACAGCATCAGGCCGAAAATGTCAGTTCATTTAAAAACCATTTTCTTCTTTCTTTTTAAAGCAGAAAACATTTGTTTCAAAAGTACTAAATCAACATCTTATTCAGAAAGCATGGAATTACTGTTTTCCTTAGAAGTCACCRAAGGACTAACCCTTTATCTAATCCTTTCTTAACAATGAAGCCAGAGGACACTCACCTCAATCACATCTCTTTCCTGTGGCTCCCTGAAGTCAGCCACTCTTACGCTAATTAGTAATCATCTGGAGCATTCTACTACCCTTTGGTAGCAGTTGTGAAAATTGAATTAACTGCTTATGAATAACTGAACTAACAGAAGACAGCTATCAGTAGGAAGGATTTCTGAGGTTGCATTCAGCTTGCTTTTCAAAGGACTCAAGTCCAGGACCTGTCTAACTGAACTGCCCTAAATACTTGCAGCTTCCTGCGCAGTGATAGGCACACATATCCGTGTAAGGGTCAGATGATGCCACAGACAGCATGGGCAGCGTCAAGAGGTTAAATGACAACATTTTTCACAAGAAATGCACACAGAAGAAGCAGTTACAATTTTGTTGCAATAGAACCCGTAGCTGGATATCAGAACTTCTGTCGCAGACAAAAACTTAAACTATGAACTATGGAAATGACAACAGATACAGAAGATCACTTAGTTTGAACTGGCACAATCCATGAAGAGGATCTGGTGAAAGTTCACCATGCACCTGAAAAGGACCAAGGGGAAACAAACACCTACACTGCAAAAAAAAAGACAACAAACCAATCTGCCTATATTTCCACTTTAGTTAGTGTGCGCTTTATTTAGCAAAATCGAAGGGCTTACAAATGAAGCCAATGATCTAAAAAAAATCCTAAAAGAAAACGAGGATTCTCGATATCAAATGATAACTCCAATGTAATAGATATCTCATACCACAAAGATAAGTACAAAGATAAGGATGATAAACCTAGAATGGTTTGGATTGGAAAGGGCCTTAAAAGCCCATCTTGTTTCGCACTCCACGTTCCACTGGAGCGGGCTGCTCCGGGCTCTGTCCAGCCTGATGTGGAACATTTCCAGGGATGTGGAGTCCACAGCCTGGCCGGGGCCTCAGAGCAGCCTGCGCCAGAGCCTCAACAGCACAAGCACCCCTGTTTTCTTACCCCCAGCTCCTCTCAGAGTAGAGAACATTTTCCTGGTATCTAATGTAAAGCAGCCATTCTTTGGACTAAGAATTTACCCTTTGTCCTATCACTCCAGGCACTGTAAAAAGTCCATCTCCAGCTCTCCCAGAAGGGGCTCTGGGGCATCCTTTGAGCTTTCTCTTCTCGAGGCTGAACTACACGGGATCTCTCAGCCTGTCTTCACAGAAGAGGTGCTCCACACACATTATTAATAAAACTGAGCTCTTATGTCAGTGAAGGAAAGCTCCAAATGAAAAGCTCTTTAAATGACAGCAGGAAAATGACCAATCAGCAGCTAGCTTTAATGAAGGGTTACTAGAAGATTTCTTTACAAATCAGTATTGGAACCTGTGCAGGTAGCTGCAATGGTCAGTCCCAAAATGTGAAGATGATATTAAGCATTCTGGAAAATCCGAGGTTTTTCTAACAGGAAGGAACCCTGGAAAAGGTCTGCAAAACCCTAGGACTGGCTCAGTTGGTTACAGCAGGGTGCTAATAACACCAAGGTCAGGAGCTCAATCCCCACACAGGCCATTCACTGAAGAGGTGCCCTTGATGATCCTTGTCGGTCCCTTCCAACGCAAAATACTCTGTGACACCCTGAAAACAGCAGGCAAAGATCATAGAGGAGCTTCCTCATATACAAATGTAAGCTGATACACCCAGAAAAGAAATACTGAAATTAGAGGACAACATAAGAGGATCGAAGGGATGGAACCACCACTTTCAGAGAAAAAAACTGAAAACACCCAGACTGGTCAGTTTGGAGAGAAGACTAAGGGCAGAGACAACCAAGGTGCAAAATAATCAAGGTCGTGGATAACATAAATTGGAGAACTGTTATTCTCCAACCCATTGAATAACAGAATTACAGAACAACCACTGGACAGCAACACAAGACCATTTGTTAAAAATGTCCATGTTCCAGTAGTTAACAGGCTTCTGGAACTTGTTGTCCCAGGACACGACTAGAAACAACATTGTGAGGAGATTAAAAAACAAAGAACAGGCTAATTTATGGGCAACTGTTTAATAAACAGAAAATAAATGTAGTTAGGGAAAAAAATGTGCTCTACAACATCACTCATAAAATATCTCAGGATGCCATAGCTCATATGAGGGAAAACTGATYAGGAAGGGGTAAGATTCACACTGTTTCTCCAAGCAGCATCTCCTGTGGCCACTAATGCAGACAGAGCTCTGCTGCAGATCAACCCCTGACCTCAGCCACTGAGATATTTATTATGTTTTCAAGAGAATAAAAAAGCAGCAAGCCAGATACGGGCATGTGTAATACTGAATATTATACATTCTAAATATTTTTGTATATACAGAACACATGTTTTGCTCTATTTATTAAATGCCACAGTATGCAATGGGAAAATAAAGACATTTGAGAGTGCTTTTAAGTATTTCCCCTGCATCCCTTGAAGGGACCAATACAGAGAAAGGGAAGACACAAAATGAAGCAAAACGGGTCAGTGAGAGGGCTCATCTCTTCCCACAGAGGAGCCCTCTGGAATCAGTTACTGTGTCTCAGCAATAAATGGACAGCCTCTCAGCAAATGCCAGATGCTGCATTACACTATGTAAAAATGCCACATTATGCAAAATACAAGGCTGCTACCCAGGGACATCCCGTACTCGCACATGAAAGAACACTTAAGTTAAATGTCCTGACTCACAGGGTGTTAAAATTTTTTCATACTGAATTGGATGCATCCCGAAAAATGATACGGACTACAGAACTGATATTCAAAAAGCATSTACCTGATAGTTACTTAAAACTAGCTTTTGCTACACAGTAGTACTTGATACCATGAAAGTTCTAWTGTCAGCATTGGTACTCGTTATTATAGGATCCTATTCAAACATACAAGCATTTAAATCTTGTCATTATCATGGATTTCACATGAAAATGCATTCTCCCTGSAACAGCCAAACACCTCACAGAAATGCTAATTTCAGTGAGTTGTAATTTCAATTACTAGGTCCACTGCTGTTTGAGCTGATGTGGAAGAAAATTAAGATCTCCTGAAATCACCAGATTACTCGATGTCTGTGTTCTTAAATTTTACACATTGAAGTAAAATAACTAGAGTAAGCTTTTAGACATGTCTTTACACATGTGCTTCCTTCTTTAAAACCTATATACATTTACTGATCGTCAAAGAGTCTTCAATAAAAGCATGTAGCCAATATCCAAAATAAAATGCTACATATTAATACCCTAATGAGACGAATCACTCTTCTTTAGGAAAAACACTAACTCTTTATATACTGATACCCTCTCTTTGTGAAAACAATAACACAGTTCTTACCCTGAGCCTGGAGCTTTCTCAAAAGCTTTGTGTCGGCATTGTCCAGGAATTCACTGCTGCCAACATTGGGAGGTCGGCCTTTGCGGCGTCTTGCCCTGGACTCCTCTCTGGAGTGCTGCCTGTCTGCGTTTGGTGGCCGTCCTCTCCGCCCTTCCATAGCTCTGATACGGGGAAGCACTTCCTCCTCCTTCAGCAGACACCACTGCACACCCTTTTAATTGACACATTTCACAGAGAAGTATTATAAACACAGATTAAAAAAAAAAAAAGAAAAAGAAATCAAGAAGAAAATATGAACAGCATATATTCTCTCCCCCCAACCCAAAATAAGCCGTAGATATAAAATATGCAAATACTGTGATGTACTATTTGGGCAGGACAATTTTTTGATGATGCACAGAAGCTATTTATTGAGTGGCTACCACTAAGAACTTACGTAAATTGTACCATTAGAAAAGATTTTGAAGACTACTCAATCATATACGAAGTTATTACCTAGTAGATTMGCATTACTAGATTCTTTTTAATTATTTCCCATCAAATCAAACTGCTCAACCCTTTCTAAAAGGCAAAACAGATCCTTCCTTATTATGAAAAATCAACAACTATTCTGCTTTCACGTAATCCATTGATCTACATGAATGAAAAAATGCGTCAAGATACAAGATGCTGTCTTCCAACTGAGAGTTCTTATAGAAATTCTGGCATACATAACAAGCAAAAGCAGTAGTGTATTTTCAAAAATTGCTTTTGAGTGTTGTAGAACTCAACCACAAAGGCAAAAAAACACAGATGCCTTTTTATCTTCAAGTTTAGTTAGTACAACTGAGTTCTCCCCTCATTCACTGCAAAACAATTCCTGCACCAACTTGAATCAATCAAATGCAATTTTGAAGCATCCACGTATCTAAACTAAAGTTGCATTTAACTGTTCTCTAACTAAAGCACACACTACAGTGTTTTGTGGAATCAGATTCTGAAATACCTTGTTAATAAAAATACCCAAGTTAATCCTCACATAGAAGTAGCATTAACTGGTTACTAAAAGTAGAGTTTATTGCATCTACTGCACAGAGGAGGAGCACAGTCTAGGTGATCCCATTTTAACTGAACACCAGTATTTCARAATTTTAACATCTTTTACCATTTCCCCAATTTTTTGATGAATACAGGGGGAAAACTGCAAGCTAAGTATCCTTCAGGACTTCCCTGTAACTTGCCTTAAAAAGGTGTGTAAAAAATTTGGAAAATGTCTGTTAAAGCAAGAAGGAAAGTCGATAACTTATAAAACTCATTACATACCAGTTTAGAAAAAATATGTTTAGAATGCGTAAGTTTTCACATTTCTATGTTCATAAATCCTGAAATTAAATCCATTGTATTGCAACAGAAATTATTTTTGCTAATTCTGGAAATTTGTCTTTTAATTATTTCTGCTCATTCTTCACAATTACAAAGGTTTAGCATAAATTCAGTAAAAGAAATGGTGGTTTGCTAATGAGACATTCAGATTTCAAGGGAGTTACCGGTATCTGCAAAGATACTTTTCTTTAGTCTGAATCACACTCGATTAAGACTACCTCCACTTGGTTTGCACACATTCCAAAGGGCTTTATTATTATTATGTTCTGAAAAATCACTGTTCAGAACCATGACCGTATCATTAATGTGTACTACATCATCATGCATCACCCCTATGGACTTGTAAATCCAAACTATTTACCTCTACCACTTGACTGGAAGTTAATTTTCTTATTCTCTTTACAAGTACTGTTTGGTGTAACTTTTGTTTCCCTGCCTAGTACTTGAATTGCAGTCTACCACATGTTCAGTTGACTGAGGAAGATTTAATACTGTACTTATTATGCACACCAGCCTCCAACCTAGAAAACCTTATCTCACATTATCACAATACATAGATGCCAGGGGAGGCAAAACAGAAATCAAAGAAAAGGAGGAGAAACGGCCAGAGTTCAAAAAGTATCTTAGAACAGCAATGGAGATTGCTCTTGCTCTGTATTTGTACGATCTGCAGTTAATGATACTAATGATAATAAATATGCATAAAAGAAAATAAGAGGTCTGCTAGGTAATTAGTACCAGAGACCATGTTGTATGCTACATKTTCCTAATGCTGCCTAAAAGGGAAGCTAGAGGCTTCCAAATGAAGTGAATAATGGTTCAATAAGAAAAAGGAGCAAGTGATCCAAGAGATCCAAGAAGACKGCTGAATGTCCTGTCAAAGGACATTTTGGATGCACAAGTTTCCACAAGTTTAAGAGAAGACAAGACAAAAATAGTCCAGAACAAAGCCATTAAGGGTTAGGAAGAATTGACTGACCATCCAGATTTTGTGCTCAAACCTCTTTTAAAACCTAACCCAAAATATATTTCTATTGAAGGAACACACAATCTGACACACTGGGCTTTTGACATTTCAAAGATAAAATACAAGGGTTGTGCCCTAACACAGGAGAATCATGGGCTTCCATAAAACTGAAGCTTTGCTACTCAAACATTAGAGAAAAAATGGCAATAACACTGTGAAATGTTGTGGTCTACTGTTCAAACTAACCAAAATTGGAACTTCATTCAATTTCTCACCTTAAAGCATCTACCATGTGTTGCAACACTGTGCTGCAATCAAAGCATTTGCCAAAAAGGCACCATGGACGAAAGGATAATCAAGCTCAAATCCTGTTAATCAAACTTATGAACCAAACCATAGGAACTTCACAAGAAGCACAAATGCACTTTTATTTCACATTAGGTTTGTGGGAAAAAGTTAAGAACAAAGCTTTTCAAACTGCATTGAAGAACTTCGAATAGGACAAAGACTCCTGTACATATAACTCAAACCCATGAGGACCTATGTCCATTCAGTCACCCCAAATCATATTCATGCTAATCTTTCTAAATCACAGCAGTTTAAAGTGTCCAGATCCAGTCACTGAATGTTCGTATTTGCCAAACTTCAAACATTCTTCTAATCCTACTCCTTCACAGCCCACTTCTGCCAGTGCTTCTGTTACAGCATTCAAGCACTGCTTTGAATAACCCGAAATATTCTGTAGTTTGTGCACCGCGAGAGAGAAACACGGCTACTGTCAGAACCGGGTAATCTGGGTATATTTGGCTTGCTACAGATAAACCTTTAATAAAATTGATTTAGCCTTAAGACAATTTTCTTCACATCTTCTTCTGTGTGAAACTTACCCCAGCACTSTGGATACACGCTGCATGTCTCAAAAGATGACAGAAATATGTAACGAAGGAGGGTAGAATAACCACAAAAGTCTACATAGAATCATCCAAATTACCGAAAAGCAGAAAAAAAATTCTGGAATTATCTCCATACATCCATGGAGATATGATTATCGTATATGATTTTGAATCTGGACAATTCAAAAAACTTTAGCAAAAAGGGTGCAAGCTCTTTTTGTAAAATATCAATACCACATACTATTTTACTAGGTATTTATCAGCCTGAGTGTAGCTCCACTTTTTCGTAACTTCTCATTCATACATGAAATGTAAACACATCTTAGGACATCTGACACAGTTGCCCCCAGTCTCTTTTTCTATAAGAAAACTTTTCCTTTGTCTCAGTGGAACCTATCAAAAACCACATCAGTACAAAGTACAGTAATATGCGCAGCAAACTAATGTTCACAATGCCAATCTTGCCTGGTGAAATCTGMCCCTCACACTGCCTTCACTGCCAAGTTTTATAGATCATGGGAAAACTGCACATCAACTCATGAACTACAGGGAGAAGACAGACACCTAAAGAAAGGGACAAGACTAACAAAGTAATATGGGCATCAGACACAAAAAAGGGAACAGGTCAAAAACAGAGCAGGTACCCTGGCATTATACCACATCACAGTAAAATTACTTCCTTCAACCAAGCCATTCAGGTACATAATGATGCTCATAACTACAGGAATTTGTAACTGTTGTTTTCTGAAAGCCAAACATGAAGTAAGTTTAGCAATGTTTTACCCTGTAAACCAGGAAGCACCACCTAGAAGTAGCTGCTTATCGTGAACTCAGTCTTTAATGTTTTAAAATTTATACCATGCAAGCATTACATATTTCTACAGGGTATCGCAAGAACATAGGGCTTAACTAGAGACTGAACTCTAGCTGAGTGCCACTAACATGTTCAGAACTTATCTTTTGAAGAAGCAAATACCTTCACTGAAAAAAGGCCAAAAACTTTCGTACACATCCTGAAGAAATGGCAACATGGCCAAAATATGGTAACACCGCATGGCACAAGTATAGTAATAATTTCCTTAAAATTCTGGTTTTATTTATCCTCATATGGTTTATCTACACAGACTCAAACAATTTTACCACTGTCAAGTATAACTGGTAGAGCTCAGCATCTTCCTCTGTAGAAGTGTCACACTTCAGGATGCTCAGACAGTATTCTTGGTACAGCACACACTTGCATATAAACATGTAATTTACATATGTATACAAACACACATACATACACATATTATGCACACCAAGACATGAAAAGAGTGGGATTTAACGTGTACACATAAATTACTATTGGTATGAGGTTGCATACAATAAATGAAGAAATAAAGTTTTAAGTCAGAAATATCTGAATGCTAAGATAAAACAAGTAGCTCTGAGTTTTCAAACAAGACCAACTCAGGCTCAGAGCTGATCATTAAAGCATGCCKAACTCCTGCAGCCTCCAAGCAAAGCCACTGAAGGAAGCAGTTTTCTACCCAGCCCAGGATCAAGCTCTCCACATCTCAATCTAACTACTGTTTAGAACACGTGCAGCTTTTAGAAATAATTAGCTAAAAACAGGTAATGCTTCAGATAGTAGCAAAAATTATTTCACCTAAACTTAAGTTAATGCTCCTTGGATCAAAAACTTTACTTTTTAAAAAGTGGATACCTGCGGTCCATCTCTGGCTTCATAGAAGTCACCCACTCCTATTTTTGCACTGAAGCTGAAATTGTCCCTTGAGATATCCATTATTCCATTTCTGCTGAGATACTGAAAAAATCACATATTTTTCCACTTCAGCTTGTAAGTAATTACAACCCAGCTTTGATGTACAGCTAACTTTGTGAGTGCAATGCTTTGCATATTCTGTCAAAGGGATACGCATTTATAAGGCATCAAATCAGTAACAGACCGAGATACATTATGCCTCACATCACAGGAAATATGTATCTCTACTGGAGAGAAAAAAAATTACAGTTTTCAATTGCAAGCATGCTTAGTAGCATTAAAACACAGAAGTTAAAAAATTAACTACCTTTACTACTTCAGGATACTGTCTCAACTTCTTCCCACAAGGTGCAAAATATGTTACTTCTCCTTGAAGACGACCACCGAAGTTTCTTATTCGGGTTTCTCGTTGCCAGCTAGAGTAATATGAAATAGTTGCATACAACAATACATTTTTTAAAAAACTAGTAATTCGTGTCAATTTAACAGTTCTACAAAAAAAAAAAGGAAGAGCAAAATGTGACTAAAGTATCATAAATCAAAGAGACAAAACCAGAAAATTACATATTACCAGMTTTTAAACAGCTTAAAACTATACTTCAGGGAGTTATTTGAAGCCTGTATTGGCTCACATCTAGCCATCAGGAGTAATTTCCAGTGGCAAAACAGCTAAGAGACAGGTCATGTTTGCAAAAGAGCAAAATTTTTTGCACAAAAAAATTAACACATGAAATATGCTGACACGTTTTAAAAATATCCACAGTCACCGGGAGACAGAAATCGAAATTGTTGAAGCCCTTTGTTCATTATTCAGCCTCAAAAGTTTTTAAACTCGTTTCTTTACCAACTAATTTTTGAAAGTAATCTCCCCTTTAAGGAAAAGTCAAGTATGTACATAACGTACCCATATTCGAGAGGAACACGCAGCTCCTGCTCATCTGCTACTCTTCGTTTTTTTGAAACACCTAAAACAGAATTTCCGATTAACACCTAACATTACTTACAAAAGAAAGCATGCTCCTAAAATGTAGTTATGTTTATATAAACTGTTTTTTCATTCTAGCCATTATGTACCTCAGTTACCAAGACAATTAATGTAATCGATCTCCTTTTGAAATTCAATTTCCTCTAAGTTTCCTGTAACTTCTTCCTCTGAAATTGTAAACAGAAAAGCTAACTATCCCATACTTAGTTGATTGTCCTGTTTAGTGCTCTCAAGTACTGACAACTTAATTCCTTGCACTGCAGTTTTTCTAGACAAGACCATGTATAATTTTTTTCAGTAAAGAAGATGCTCTAAAGATCAGTACACTCTAACACGGTCAGTCTTCCTAGAGCACTGTGCATAGGCTGCAGTCAAATGTCAAATGCAGAAAATTTTCAGAACTACTTCGGTTTTTTCAACTTCAAACAGATGTTGTTATTGGTGGTGCTTGTCAAGCAACTGAATCAATAGTATCACACACACAACTGTAGGGTTTTAGTGTCAAAGGCTGATCTTTTCCTCAGCCTCTCAGGCAGCTGCAGGACATGAACCATGTACACAGACCAACTTTTGGAAGGTGCACTTTTCAAAAAGCAAGCTAGGACCTTCTGTCAGGAAGGTAAGGCATCTCTGCCCTGGAAATGGCCATGAGTGAGATGGTTTGGTTCGCAGACTGACAGCCTGGCACTCGCTGCAGCCTCTCAGAGCCACCAGTGCTCCACAGCAGTGCCAGGGGCAGCTCTTCCTTCCATGTGATGGGGAGAATCCTCCAGAGAAAGCACCGAGGAAATGGCTGCACTCAGATGCCAAACGTGAGACGTCTGTCTGCAACCTCAACCCAACAGCACTGCTTTAGTTTGAATGGTCACAGTGCAGGGATGGAGGCTGCTTTTCCAAATCTAAGTGAAGTGAAGAGCCCAGTGTAAAACAAATACAGAGAAGAGATCTCAAGACCCCTTCAGTGACTAACTCTAGGTAAAAAATTCACAAAAATATTTTTGTTGTATTATGTTGATTCTTATTGGGTGACTTTACATGTAGTATTACTACACTTAAAGCAAGGACACAAAACTTACCTATTCTACCTCCTAACCCTGTAAACAGAAAAACCTGCGATCAGACTTTTCAAAGCATCACAAATCATCAGATTCCTAAAAAAAAAAACTTAACTTTTAATTTAAACTATTTGGATTAAACTCCTAATCCATATGAAATCTTTTAAAAACTGTACAATTAACAGGCCTTTTTCTGGGATAAATATTAGGCAGATCACTTTATACTGCTTCAAAGCTAATGCACTTGTATGAGATGGAATGAAGCTCCTATTCCACTGAATCCAAATATAAAAATCTATTTATAAGAGGATATCCCCATTTAAAAATCTGCTTAAATGCACATTAATTAAACACAAAATCATAATTCAAAGTAGTAAACATGTGATTTCACTTYGTTGTAACCATGCAAATTAGGAAGTGTGGCTTCCAGAAAGGCATTCTTTACTGTAGTCACAGTAATTACTAAATCTTGCATCTTAAGTCAACGAATGAACGATTATAAGCACTATATAATATTTGGCAAATGCTAAATGTACTTTTCATGAACTTTTAAAAAGCAAATCCTCGCACATTATCCATGAATTCTACTGAGAATTTTGAAAGARCTACTAGAAAAGTTATAACAAAGTACGGTTATTAAGTGTATCGAGGAAGGGGCAAAACCAGAAAACTCAGAATACAAACTGGAACGTATAATAATCAGAAACAACTAAGAATAACTAGTTTAGAATAAAAYTGTAAATTCCAAACACTAAATAATGAAGAGTTTTAATGTCATAAATATCAACTCTGGATATTTAATCTTATCTTCTCTCAAAAAATTACATGAGTTAAAGTACCCTGCTCTGAGTATAATGTTCTAGTCTGTAGAACTTGCAATTTGGCTGACAGATCTTAATGATGTCAGATGCAAACATCCATGAAAAGATCACAGAGAGCAAACAGCTGAGGTCAGAAGGGATATGAAAAGACACCTGGTCCAACCTTCCTTGGGAAAGGAAGCTTTGCTGAGATTATTGGCACCCTGACCAACTTGCATCTGAACACCTGAAGTGAGGGGGACTCTGCCACATCCCAGGGGCAGCTGTTTAGTGATTCACTGCTCTTGTGGTAAAAACTCCTTGAGCTGTCACTTGATACCAGCACCTGGACTATTTCTGTAACTACTTTTACAACACATGGACCTTAGATATSACATGGTAGTAGAACAGAAGACAGTGAGATACCACAGTGTGTACTTGGCGTGGCATTGGACGGTCCCGTCCCGAGGAACACCGCAGGCTGGGACTCAGGACATAAGGCAGCTGGTGCTGAGCTGGGCGCCTTTGCTACTTGGAGATTAAGCGGGGTGGAAAGAGCTGTAAGACCAATGGAAGAGCTCTTCACAGAGGATGAAGTTTTATTCAGTTTCAGTGGAGTTTTTTCTCCCTCCGTATCGGTATCTGATTCATCTTGGTCTTTATCGTCCTCATCATCTTCCTCATCAGTCCCTTCTGTATCTGATTCAGAATTACTGTCAGAATCTGTTCAAACAAAAACGTGGCAAAAGGCACATTATGACTTGGTAACTACTGGCAAATACATTAAATTTCTAACACTTGCGAAATCTTTCATCTTATTAAATACATTTTTTAAAAACATCTCTTGAGGAAAAATTGAAGGCTCTAATTAATTACCAGCTAAACTTTAAAATTACTACAAATATGACAGCATTAAGTAATTCTGCATGATAATACACTGTTCTTTCAAATGGAAAGAGATGAGTGACAGAAGCTGAGGTATTTCAAGACTGTTGTACCCAGAATGAGCTACAGCTAAATCACGCCGTTAGCCAGGCAGCAGCTCGGCACTACCCCAGGAACGGCATTTCACAGGGTGTAAAATCCATTGTGAAGAGGAAGAAAAAATGACAGAACTGAGTACGTGCTAAAAGGTGTCAGAATCAAACCTATGGCAATCTGGCCAAAGGAAGAGTGGATGAGAGGGGGAAGAGAATGATGAAGGTGATGCTGGACCCAAGGGTTATCAGCACATGGGAGAAAGGAGCGACTGTGAATACAATCAACTCTTTAAAACAGGCCTTGCCATTCCAAATTACATAGTCTGGTCTGTAGCCCTAAAAGCTGCCCAATTACTTGCTCATGATATACTGTGCTCCTGAATGGGGCACAGAAACATGCTTTTTGCCACTCTTGACAATTTGAAGGCCCTTGTTTAGTCCCTCTCTTGTTAGAAAAGCCTGTTTCGCAGCTGGGCTCTGTCTGCCAGAATCATGAGCACCAATGAGCCTTAATCTCCAGCCCTTCCTGAGCACCTTGTCACATCAAGCTGCAGGCTGGGTGTCTAATGTGGAAGGCAGGTCTCTGACAGCCTTTCCAAAAGGCTATGGAGCCACCTTATAAGGACAGCTGACCAAGTATCAGAACACCCCAAATATGATTTTGGACATGACACACTGGGGAATGAGGACATGTGCTAATCTCAAGGATATGTGTAGGACACTGTGTGGGTCATTGTCATGCTGGCCCAGTAATTCCTACCCCTCTTTTTAAAATAGGTGGGAAATGCATGTTTTCAAAACTCAAAAAATAAAATTTCTGCTTTTCCTATTAAAAAGGTTAAACCACCTGATTGGCTATCATCAGAATCATCATCTTCATCGTCCTCATCTTCATCTTCATCATCGTCGTCATCATCATTTGAGTCATCAGATTCTTTACTGCTGGGAGCATCTGAGTCTAGCCCTCTGAACTGCTCCACCACCAGTTTTGCAGAATGAAGGCGGTGTTGTGGTTTTACTGCATTTACTGCATTATTGCTGACTGTTTTATCCTTTCCTGAACCAGGTAACACAGGAGAGGTAGAGGGCATAACGGCTGTCCGGTTACCGGTTGTTTTTTTCCCACATGCACTCAAGTTTATTGGCAAAGAAAAGGGGGCACTACTAGAAATGGCTACACTTTCATTGATCTTGGTCTGGGGTTTCGGTTTCGTAGTGAGTGCAAGAGGAGCCTCCTGGATGACGCTCTGAATAACTCCATTGGGTTGGTGATTACCTAAAAGTGCATTTGTCAGGAATGGGTTAGAATGGTTGTTTTCCAAAGATGTGAGTTTTTGATGAGCTGGTGAACTAGATGTTGGTTTGGGGCTTGACAAAGCTGTGATAACCTTCTTCAGGCTCTTAGACGATTCCTGTTTCTTTAGCTGTGCTGCGGGGAATGTCTGCTTATATTGTTCCTAAGGAAATAAGAAAACAGGAATAAAATGTGGAGATGTTTGTTTGGCTTTCTTTGGTACTCAGGCAGGTGAACTGTAGGAAATTCTAAACATCTGCTACGCTGTTTTTAGAAAGTCAAAAGCAGATACTAGCTACAACGGGTGAGATCAGTAATTACTAGTTACACAAGTTTTTCGTTATTTTCACTGTAAATCAAGTAAGAAAAGACAAACTGAACTCAAGATGAAGTTGATTCAAATTAGGTAGGGGTGCTTTCTAACCTGCTACAATGCTCTAGACAAAAACTTCCATAAAGATATTAATCATTCTGAAAAAAGCCTCTTTTTGAAAGATACTACTTCTCTTGTGTACCAGCAAAGGAAAACCTCTCCTTATTACTTAATTCAGTATATAAGAATCTCCTTAGTGACTGCACAGCTACCTTTAATTATTTGTTTGTTTTAAAGCACAGGGTAAATACCACACACCAATGGCCACAATACTAGAAAACCAACAGATGACTCTTCATATAGAAAAGATTTATTTAAAAAAAAAGAGGGAAAAGGTATTACTCAGAAATGCTGTGGTATTTAAATTGTTTAACTCAAAAAGTAGTACTTGAAAGCTCTTCACGTAAAACTTAATCAGTAATGGCTCAGAAATGCATGTAAAGCTTACAGTGTCTTTGGTCTAGACTCTTACAAAGAAAGAAGCCCCAYATCATCTTTGATGGAAAATATAATGAAATGGATAAAGACGGTACATTTAAAATCAATTTTTAAAAATTAAGTCAAACACAATACATTCTTGAAGCCACTAATATTTAAAACTGAATATGAAATTATGAAGAGCTCTAAAATAAATATTCACAGTTACTTGTAAGTAATTCATTACTAAAGTTTCAGAGAAAACAAACTCCAAAATGGGTGATTTATCACCAGCTAAAGACTCATAACCTACGTTTGAAAGCAGATTCCTCTTATAATGGTGAAGATGGATGTTTCCATAATTATAATTTATTTAGCTACTCCAAGTAAGTGACAAGCTTATTTAAATTTTACCAAGTAACTGGAAATAGGAAAGGAAAAATAGGTTTTATCTTCTAGTCTATCAATGAAAACTAAGTATTTTTCCGTCCTCACTGAGGGCCTGTGAGTTAGCTGTGAATCCGAATTCAGTTTACTACTCCGAAATACTACTTAATTTAAAACAAAATTTGAAAATAATAAAAAACAATGACAGCTGCCTTGGTAAATGTATTTTAAAATACATAAATGTGTTTATATATTTATATTTATATTAGTATTTATAAATATATAGGTATATTTTAATATATTTATTTTTGTATCTATTGTATATATCCTCAATGTTTGTAAAATGATGTATTTGTATTCTCTCCTAATCCCCATTTAAAATTCACTGAATAGAGGATTTATCAGCAGTCACCTTAATCCCCATTAACAAAATAAATAAACTTTGAATGTAAAATYTTTACAAGTCATGGAAGCGTTAAGACAGACATATAAATTTCTGGTACACTTGTGACCAGTAAAAAGGAAGATAAATCGAGGGAGGATGGGCAGCCCTGGCCCAGGGTGCCCAGAGCAGCTGTGGCTGCCCCTGAATTGTCCAAGGCCAGGCTGGACATTGGGGACAGTGGGAGGGGTCCCTGCAGGGCTGGCATGGGATGGGATGAAGCTTTAAGGTCCCTTCCAACCCATTCTGCTATTCTACAAAAACTACTGAAATGACCATATACTGAGTTTTCATAGTTATTAGTGCATGAATACCTGTCTGTAAGAAGAGCACACAAAAGTCAACGTTATATTGAGCATTTTTTTTAAAAAAACAGCTTACAGGTTCTTTGTTTAAAATCATGATTTAAATAGGTGATTTTAATTAATTTGACTTAAAACTATCCAACCTGAAAGAAAGTGAAGCCATGCTTACATACTAGATATGTGAAGTATTAAATCAACATTATGACAAACTAGAAGCACCGGAAAAATATCCAGGCCACAATTTACACACGTACTTTTCTTATTTTGATACTAATTTTACATGTACATTGTCCTTAAGAGATGCATCACCCACACTGTCCAGTTAATTCACACCATTCAGAAATCCAGATCAATTCTAAAAACACATAAACCCCCATGATTATTAAAATACAAATACGTATCATTTTAATACACTATATTTAAAAGAGCTTGATGGCACAATGTTACATCTTTTTAAGCAAATGACACAGATTATGAATAATCAAAACTTCACTCACCCGTTTTGATCTAACATCGCTGGTTAAAGTGATAGGTTCTTCAGAGGTATCTTTATTCCCTGTTTTGAGTAGATCAGGGGAAGGAACTATGAGTTTTAAATAGGTCTCCTTTTTGGCTTGATGTACCAAAGACAAAGGTTTCACGTTAGGAACCAATCCCGTAGACTGTATTACACTTGTGTGTTTGTTCACAGATTCCTCCTTTGCCTGAGAGCTTTGAAAAATAAACGGAAGCTGCTGTGACAAAACCTGAGGCTGCTTCTGCTGGGACTGGAATGATGAGTGAGTCTGGGAATCAGACACAAGAGGTATCTGCTGGTGTGTTCTTTTTTCTTGAGACTTTTCCTGTGTTTTCTGTCCATCAGTCTTCGTATCTGTTACACCACTATGCATTAGCACCTGCAAAATATTTGGTTTTGATTGTTCCATTATCTAAGTTAAAGACTCTTCTACAATGACTAAGCTTATGATCAGCCTCCATGAAACAATTATACTAGTCTTGGCAGAGGATGACCAATAATTTTCAAATCAGTCTTGTAAAATATTTATTGTTCACTCTGTGTTTTTTTCCCCCCAGATAGTTTCAGTATGTGAAGACAACATTTACTAGGAAAGGAGTATTAAACCTTGGCTGTTCTTAAATGTTTTTCTGACTGTAAACCTGACAGGATATCTAAGATTCTAATCTTTCTGTTCTACCACTAGGGAAAGTAACCACTCTACTAGGAAAAAAAGCAACTGCCAAATCTATATCCATAATGATAAATTTTCAATGCACTACTTACAAACAGTACTTAATTTCTTTGTATTTCCTACTTTACAACAAAAGTAACAGTCTACAAGGTGTAAACTCTTAGCCTGTAAGGAACAGCAATACAGACATACATGCACACAAAAGAACTGAAAATTTAAAAATAACAAACAAAAACTGCCACAAACAGAAAACCCTGATGCAAATCAAAAGAGAGTATTCTTAGCATTTATTAATGTGAAGTTAAATAATTGTTCATATTTGTTCACAGATGTGAGTAGGTCAATTTATCACAAACGACTCACAACAAGAAGACTGAGCAGCAGAGCGAGGTGTTATACCTTGTTCTCACTTTTGTGATGTGCTTCGTTTTCAGAATCAGATTCATCATCTTCACTCTCTTCAGCACTCTGATCCTCCTCTTCCTCCTCTTCATCCTCCTCCAGGTCATCAGAGTCACTACTGCTTATACCTTCACTCGAGGTGTCAGAAGAGGAGCCCGAATCACTGTCGCTGTTACTAGAGCTTTCCACTGCCTTTTTTCTGGGCTTCTACCAGGAAGATGAATTCTCTGTTAATGCTTCAGTTTTAATTTGTTATATAATCTTATTATTACACATAAACTCTGAAACAAAGACGAGTGACACTTTGGAGTAAAGCGATCCGCAATCCCTAAAGTACTTCACAAGATGATGAGAACTAAAAACTGATCACGAAGTTCCACTTCAGTGTTTTTCTGACCACCACTGAGAGAACAGTTGACAGCACTACATCACAAAGAAATATGTCAAATTTAGGCCTAGAAACACTGACCTTGGGTCTAGTAAACCTCCACAGAATGTGTGGATTCCAAAATAACTTATACCCAAAACTTATATGGCAAATTAGTGCAGAAAGAACAAATATTGGTTTATCAAACTTTCAGTGACACGTTCATTTAACTACATTTCTTAACCTTCAATTTCACAGTATGAGCTGTACAGCAATGTACTGTTTTGAGGACTGAAAACAGTATCATTMTCAAATTGCTTCTGGGACTTGCTTCTCAAAAATGGGCAAAAATCTGCTGAAATACTCTGACAACTACAACATATTGACATTCTTGTAAAGAAAAAATCTGCAGACCAGAATGAGAAAATAAAAGAAGCAACAAACAAGAATGTAGGAAAAAAAGAAAGGTGTAAAAAAATCACAGAAACCCTCAAATGTTGACAGCACAAGCCCACATTTTGAATGTGCAATGGATGGGAGAAGTCAGCCTTTTGGGGAGCAATGTAAACCAAACTGTATTTTACAAACCCATCTGAAGGATGTACATGTGGACTCAAGTGCTACGACGGTGGCTACGTAAAAGAGACATGAAAGTACATATTACTGTACTAAAGGGTATTGGATCATTAGAGGCAGTTTGCAATGGTTATGCTAGGAGGTAGAGAAACATGTGAAACCAAGATTACAGATATCAAGCAGCAGCAACAAGACTTATGTACTAACTCTTGTACCATCTAAACAGGGCATGTAAAGCCACTGAGGAGACCATAAGGTTGCAAGTAGTCCCAAGGAAAACATATGCACAGCAAACTAGGTGATTGGAGGGCAAGAAAATGCTTGCAGCAATTCTAAATAATAAGGCAGACAGGAACATGAGCGAGAATGCCTTAGAAATACAGGATTTCTAAACAAAACTTTTTCTGAAAGGTTACCTTTTGTATGTAAGAAGTAAGTCACTGACAGTGTACCAAATTAGCACAAGGACATCTATCTTCAACACTTATGCTCAACAGAYGTAACATGATACGCCACAAATATTCAGCACAGTTTTGAAGACCAACCTTTGGACAAGTTTTGGTTTATCATTGTTATGTAAGCCCTTTGAATGATCGAATATACAATCTTGACAAAAGAAACCAGATGAACAACTTAGAACTACAGCTTTGAGGATCAGATGTTTCTGTCAACTCAGTTGTTTTTCCAACACTACAGGCAAACAAAATTGTAGAATATAAGTTACTATCAGACTGCACTCTGTACTTCAGGATTTCGCCAAAATGGTAGGACAACAGGACTAGAATCCAACCAAAAAAGAAAAAAACATTGCACAAAAAGTAACTCTTTAATTTTTCATCAACTGTAAAAATAGTTTCATATCAGGCTTGACTTTTTTTCCTAAAAAAAAAAAAAAATACCAAACATATTTTAAGCTTTTTTTTTAGATTTTTTTTTACCACCCTCAAATAGAAATTACAGCTAAGGAGATGCCTGAAGAAATCAGAAGATGAACACTAAAAGAACTAAAACCCTAAAGTGTACTAGAGTAGCATACTAAAACATTTTAAAATAAAGCATGCTTTTAGAAAAGTGTTACACTATGAAATTTAAAAACATAACATCACTTGTACAAAGCGAAGCACAAAATACTCCACTTGCCATCAATAAGGAATACCGCTTTGAGATTCCTCTGACTTCAGTTCCTGCTGTGGCTTCATTTTAATATACTGAAAGATGGGAGGGGGACAATAATCCACCCAACTGGAGAACTAGAGTTCTCATTTAAAGTCATTTCAATGCTTTGACACAAAAGGTTGTTCAAATCATTACACTGACAAATAGCAATTACCTCACAAAGTTTCAGAGGAAAGGAAGTTAGGAACATCAGAATATTGAGTAAGATTAGGAACAACAAACTCCATTTCAGTATTAAAAAAACTTACTACAGGAACTTTGGAAACAGGCAACCTGAAATTTATTTGCATGAGACAGAGGACTTAAAAGTTAAGGCAGAGAGCACAATGTTCTTAAGAAAAGTACTTGCACATTGATTCCGTACTTTTACAGAACTCAGTATTTTGTCAAGTGAAATTGAGTTTGAAATCAGTGCCTACATGAGAAGAAAATCTATCAACGGTACCAAATTTATACTTCAAGATGAATGGCAACACAAAGGAGAAGATAACAATGCTGACAAAACATCCTGACTGAAACTAGGGGGGAAAAAAGAGCCAGGAAAAAAGTAAACTTTTTTAGTGATACTCAAACTTGCAGGTAACTAGCTTAACCAGCTCCATTTTCTGAATAAAGCAAAGAGTCAAAAAGTAAGAAAAGAGTCTCTTCCTTTTTTATTTACTTATGACAGAAATTTTTGGGAAGGTAGGGATATTAAAAGACAGCCATTTATCTGGTATTCTGCCTAACTGCAGTAATAATTACAAATGCAGAAACACCATCTGGGAAAAGCTTTACTTCTGCACCACAGAAACCAAGTTAAATCCTGCATGCAGATACTCAGGATAAAAGCAGAATTCTAAAAAGGAAAGAGCCATTTTTAGTATTTAAGCCTGAAAACGATCAAAGACTTTCCAAATACCTTTAACTAGCTTAATACTTTCAAAAGCTGTCAACTGTTGAACACATGAGGAATGTTTTGAGGGAAAATACTCTTTCTTAGTAATTACCCTACTGTCGATATATTGAACATTGTATACCACTACACTGTTTTAAGTAACCATTTTAGTGCTAATCCGTTTTTACGTGGATACATCAAGCTCCACCTGTCCTCTGAAAATGCCAACCTCTCACCAAAAAACATTCAGATTTCGTAGCTGAACGTAGTTCAGTAACAGAAAGAAAAGAAGAGGCCCAAGTCACTCACAAAACAAAAACATCAAAGAATGAAAAATACTTGAGCCTAGATGGCTGCCAGTAGAGAATTACTCCCTTAGCTTCTATTCCGACACTAATTGCCTTCGCAGTACACAATTTTTTGTGTTTTGCTTAAATAGTTTTGATTCCAAGAATAGCAAACTTCTTAGAGTGCTTATATGTAAGGTTTACTAATTCATTGAGACTACTCATGTCTTTCATATTAGATGGCTACGATTTTTGCTGAAACACAGCAGTTAATAATAGCACTTTCTCATGATAAATAGGAAATTACTTCCAAGAAAGCATTTTTCTTTAGTCTTCTTTTTATAAGATACATGAAAACATAATTAAATTAACAGAAATTATCTACAATAATTGTAGTGTTTTAAAAATGTAYTTTAAAAAAACCTAGATAAATTAAATAAAACACTGGACACAGCTGTTAACTTATTAACTAGTGAAATTAGCACTAATGGCAACTTTTGATTCATAAGTATGTAAAAAAAACCCCAGTAAAACCCAGTTAAAAAAATTACAAGGGCCAATACACACCAAAAAAACCCTACCCAGACAAGGATACAGATCTTGCCCTAACAAATCAGAAGAACCCAGAACATTGTGTACTCAGAAAGGACACTTAAAAATGATCCTGTGTGCTGAACACTTATCAGTCAAATTTTTTGTCCAAATCTTCAATTTCTTTCTGTGTATTTACCTTATCTTTGATTTTGTCAGCCCTGGCGTCCAAAAGCTGAACTTTGCTTTGCTCCGGGTTGTATTTTCGTCCTCCTGCTCCTGAGGTCCCAGTTTTCCCTGGTGCTGCTGACGTTGCAATGCTAGTGGAGAGCACAGATGTGCTGAGAGCAGAAACTGCAGTGGTACTGTTGCCATTCAATGATCTATTTACACCTGAAGATGACAGATTTACAAAGTGACACTTCAAATAACTCTGAAGTAACAGATATTTTCTTTGAGATGCCCCAGTCACACGAACATTCCATAGACATCTAACAAAAACACTAGATTATATACAGACTACTCACCGCGTATACTAGAATTTGCCATCCAAGTGTCACTGTGATTTGGACTCAGTTTAAACACAGAACACCCATGATTTAAAGGCCTAACACATACCTGGTATGTATCATCCTTAGCTAACAGAACGAATTTTTAAAGAATTGTTTAGGAATGGGAAGAATGATGGAAGTAAAGCTTGAACTCCACACCCTTCTGCATGTGCAGAAGTTCAGTATGATTATTTCCTGACAACTTCAGCCATTACCTTTGTCTGTATTGCTCCGATTACTTTTTCCTGTAGCTCTTGAGTGGAATGAAGCAGAATCATGATTCTGTGCAGGAGGTGCAAACAGTGTGGGAATTCCCAAGAGTGGTGGGAAAAAAGCTGCCCCTGGACGAGAGTGTGTGTCTGTTGTTCGCCACCATTCTGAACCGCAAAGGAAATAAAAACAAACTTCAGTTCTTCTAATAGTGTATTTAAGTATTTTGGTAAGCATATTGCTGGGCATAATTTAAAGCAGATTTATTAAATCTAGAAGCAAGTACAAGACATTTASGAACTTCTCCATGACACACATTTCCTGCAGCAACTCTGGTCTTAAGTCATTACAGCCATTCTGGTAAAGATTGTAATGCAGTTTTATTAAAATGCATTCTGAAAAGGAATACYTCATGGAAAGTTATGTGACACTGATCACCCCAAAGTGAAACYGCTAGTCTTATAAAATGAATTAGTATTCAGAGATCACCCTTTAAAATAATAGCTCTGATTCAGTAAGACTGCTGAGATAATAGAGTAACACAACAGCTTTCAGTCACCTCTGCTCTTCAAGTTACTAATTTACCTAAAAGATGCTCCACATAGCTGAATTTTCTATTAAATCTCTCTCCTTAACATTCTTGGCTTCCGTTCAAATAGGTTACATGTTTTTGAGCACAGTTTTTCAAATTCTAGTAACCACTGCACATATTGAAAGCATAATTCCAAAGGGCAACATACATTTCAACAATGCTGGTCTCTTAGTAACAAAGAATGATAACTGTGAGTGCCTTTGTTAATATTAATGAACTTCATGGTACAGTACAAGCTATCCAAAAAAGCTATAAAGGAATAAACACTTAAATAATATTTTAAAACACAAAGCATCAATGTGCTAACCAGCAGAAATATAAAGATAATATGGTATTTAAGGGCGTTCTTCTCCACAAGTCAGCAACTATCTACAAGCCTAAAACGAAAAACTCGACAAACCAAGGACTCTACAAAAGACTTACCTAAAAGGAAAACTCCAGTTTTATATTTTAGGCACTAAATCTGATCTTTCTCGACATTTATTTGAGAAGTCACAATGTCATTTTTATATAAATACTGAAGCCCTAAAGAAAAGCCAGTATACAAAACCAAAACTTTGCTACTGTATAGCAGAACATCAAGGGTAAAAGTACAGATTTTCCAATTAAAAAAAAATCTGTGACTTTGTGCATTTATGTACACAGTTTAAAAATTGTTCTGGATCTCATTTAAGGAGAAATAGGGAACGCCAAAAAGACTGAAGATTTCTGTTTTGACAAAAACAGCTTCTGGTTTGAGAAAAAAAAAATTGATAGGGTTTTATTTGTTGTGTTTTGTTTCTTAATAAAAAGTTAATGAACCTCCTTTATTTGAAAATTAAAAATAAAGAACCTTCCAGATTTGTTAACATCAAAACAACACAACTCTGTTGTTCAACTTAGAATGGTTTCACATGCTAATGTTACAGCCCTTCATAAAGGCAAAACACTGAATTACAGTTTTAGTTAAAGAAAAAGCTATTGATTTATATACTTCCAAAGTTGATAACATTCTCATGAGGGTGAATGTAAACCTCTTTACAGAGGTAATTTACTCTTCCAATGCACCTTCTTATTTTCAGCAGTGGTGAATAAGAAGAAAGCACATAAAATATCTGTTTACTTCATTAGAAAGCTTTAATTATTCAGGAACTACTGCCATATTAACCAATTAAATTAACAGTATGTGATACATTCTGTAGCGGTTTCACGCAGGTGCATTGTCTTTTTGACCTGAGAATATGCCAAAATAATTTATTTGTAGTTTAATCTCCCTGGCAAAGCATAAAGACTCCCAGTCCTAACTCACCATGTATCGTGAGCACTTGACAGATTATGTAATCAAGTTTATTGCACAGACTATTTAATAGACTATTGATTGCTGCAAAGAAAATAAAGAGACGAACTGGAATAAAAAGAGCCTCTCTAATCTAATGCATGCATTAAGATGCCTTCACATTCTCTTAGTAAGAATAATTGCTCATTCTCATGAGAATAAAAAGATACTTTATTAGCTACTAGACAAATGCATTTTAAAATGTGAAGGTAATTTAATAAATGGATGGAGACTTACAGACATTGTTAGGGTTTTTTAAATACCATGGGAGAGAAGAGTACTCAGTTTACAACTGGCTAGTATACTAGTCTACCTTGGCTACAGAGTAACTCGTGTCTCTTGTAAATTCAGGACATGCTATGCCCGACAGGTCATTCAAAGGAAAACAGTCTTTGGCTGGCAGCACAAACACCTCGGTGGAATTTCTCTAGGACAGCGTATCCCTTTCCAGAGTGGATACAATAGTAGCCATAGTGCACTGTGTCAGCAGAGAAACAGAAATACTCCTAAACAAAACTGATGGGGCAGTACTGATAGTAAAATACATTCCAGCTTCGTTTAGGGAAGACAGAGCGTCCTTGAAAAAATATGTATGTTCTCAAACATCAGATGCAGCCAGGCAAGCAAAATCCAAAAAATGAATGCTGGGAATTACGATCTGTCTTTTTAACTATTAGCTATCAGACAGAAACAAAACACTTTTATCTTTTACTTAAAAGTTGAGAATTGAATTTTTTAAAGTCCTTTAGTGAAGAACTACCCGAGTTTTCTAATGAAGAACAAAATTTACAGTTTGGTATCTTTATTACATTATTCATCTGYTTCAGTCTTACTGTACTTTGGCAGACCAAATATATATCCTATAAATACACAGAACATTACAGGAAATACAGAATTACATGACATAATATCTACAAAGCAAAAGCAGCAAGGAGAAGCAAATCAGTCACAGAAATGTTAGGATTGTACATTTATACCATATGGAAATTAACTCGTGCTACATTCTGGGAACCACCACAGAAAACCATTTCAAGTAGCAATGGTAGACATTCTGGTTTCTACTTCTCAGGGTAGCAGCAAACAAACAAATGCAGGATGGAGCTGGGGACTTGGAATCTGCTTATTATGTACTATCAGGGGAGTAGAGTTTTTCAGAAGAATATACTTCTGCTCACTCTGCTGCAAGAACAGAGTTTGTTCTGAAAATAGGGGATTACCGTGAATTCAAGATGAAAAAACTTCTATTTACTATATACCTTATAAGAATAGGACTAAAAGAAACAATGTTCTTCAAGAAAAAGACCTGTTTTCCAAAAGTTAAGRGAGAAACAGCAGAAAAGAGTTTACTATTTCTTGTTCTGTGGATGACATATGCATCCTTCAGCTGAAATACAACTTTCACTCACAAAAATTAGATACTTGCATGGAGAAATCTTCCAATATGTATTTGTGATTCAAGGTAAGATATTTCACTTTAGTCAAGATTATCCAAGACTGTGACCTTGTGAGAGTCAYCATTTCTATCTTAAGCTCCATTAGAAGACGTTATTCCTCCAAATATGAAACTATAGTATAGGTTGGGCTTGAATGCTGAGAACATGATGTATGTTCAAGAAGTTGATTACTACAACTTACTCTGAAAATGGCATAGAGTTACAAACGCTTTGATTCTTGCTTTCAAGGCACCCTTGCAATTTGAATTTTTCTTCCCACATTTTAAACTGGCATTTTTTAATTAATTTCATTCCTTCAATTATTAAGTATTACATAAAATGTATTCACAGCAAATGAATGTCACTTGGCAAAAACAAAAACCCTCAAACATTTTCCTCTGATGCATCTGTGCAACCTTATTACATTTGACTTGTAACAATAATTACAAGTGTTGACAAACACTGAAATTATTTTGGACTATAGACTTGAGTCACGTTTACCACATGTGTTGATTGTGGAGCTCAGTGTCGCAGCTCCCGTGGAAAGGCCACCTTTCGATACTTCTGTAGCTACCGACGGTGTTGAAGATGCTGGAGTGGAAGCAGCTGCAGTAGAGACTGATGATAACCGCTCTCCAGACTCCATACCTGAAAAAAAGAAGATAAATATCTGTCTTCTGTGGCAGCAAAGGAAATCGCAAGAGACGACAGGACTGTCTGTGAATCGCTAGAGGGTTTTGTTTGTTGTTGTTGTTGTTGTTTCCTGACGAGCTTTTCATACAAAATAAGACATTTTTATTTGTGCCATGAACTGTCTAAATCCAAAGTCACCAGACTTATTTCCCTGCATTTCAAGGAAAACAGACAGTAATATTACTATTATTAAAAACACTAGCGCACTCTCGTGCACATGATATGACTCTTGTGGATGGTCCTGTGAAGGGCCAGGAGTTAGACCTCTGTGAGTCCCTYCCAACTCAGCACATTCTGTGATTCTGTGAGATAGTTTGGGTCATAAATAAGATACCCTTGGCAAATCAATAGTTTTTTAATGCAGGAAAGTAAATCTAGCCAGGCGTGCAAGCTTTTAACAAACATAAGCCATCTGTTTGATCAAACAGTAATAAGCTGCTCTTTTAAGGCTCTGCTTTTTCCCCACCCCCACCCCACCCTTCATTTCAGTTTGCAGGGGTCTGGGAAGAGTTTTTGAGAGGGTGCTTTTTAAACCTTTAATTTAGCTGCTTGTTTAATGTCTTTAACAGAGAACTGGAGTATTGGTATTTCTCAATTATTATGAATTGAAGAAATTACATTCTTTTCCTAAAGATATACATACTTCTGATCTCAAACTAAGTCAACCCTTAATTATGTTTAGTTAATTACTCAAACCACAGCAGATGGCTAACTCCAAAAGAGATAATCCCCAAAACAGTCATTAGTCAGGATCAGCAACAATTACACTGTAGACCTAATGTGTTCTGCGACTAAAAAACTCCATACCAGTTACAGCAGATCCAAATTCTTTTTAACCTCAAATATAAATGAGACATTTATTCCACTGTAGTTATTTTACCAGTCAATACTTATGAACTTTCATGATTGTTTCTTAAGCTCTCATATTTACAAAAGAGAAAAGTCACTAAGTAAAACTAGGAAAAAAAGCTTTTTTATTTTCCAGGTGTAGTGATTTACATCAGTTCCTCCCAACGCTTTGCCCAAAACTCCAGGTATTTTCCCAGAATTTCTCATGATGAATAATAATCAATGCAGCTGAATCCAATGAAAACAGAAAGTAATCTCTCAGTAAAAACAAAGAAGTGAAGTATGTGAAGCTTTACACAAGAAATATGTTGCCTTTTTGGAAAAAAAACTTATAATAATTAACAAAAACAGAAACACTCATAAAAAAGGGTTTATTAAAGGAAACAATCAAATAATTTTAAAATGCATAAAGCTATTTCTTTACAGTCTATCACCTGTCTATTCAGTGCTCAAAATCTTTGCTGAAATGTACCCTAATGCAGGGTAAGAAGGAAAACGTCTTTCTTACACTTAAAGACGTTTAAATTAGTAATTCCCTTCTCAGGATAGTATCATGGATAGAGTATCCTAACAATGTTAGCTGGGATGTTTCAATACTATCAAGTATGTTTTGAAGACATCTTAACACTAGACTAACTCATCGCCAAATTCCAGTTTAACTTCTACACTCACATGCATTCCTTCACTATTTCAATTATTACCTCTAACCCAGTGCAAAAGAAGTTGGGTAAAAATATGCTTCAGTCTTTCTCAATGACCAAGTGAAATTTGTAATGACTGCAAATTGTAGAAGAATCTTATGTTCTCCTCCCTTACAGCAAGGCATTTAATTCTACCATATCATAATACTGACAGTCTGCTGCTAGTTCTTGTGTCAATGAGTGCTCTGATGCCAGAAATCTTGGAGCTGATGAAGGAAGTCAGAATACACAGTCCACCACATCACAAATGTAAAGTGCAGTACCCAAAAACGTCATGCTCAGAAGGTAAACCAGAGCTCAGAGGTGACTCGACAGGTCAAGCAGTAACTGTGGGTTCCACACCTTCCACAAGGGGCACAGAACCAGGGAGGAGTGGGTTTAAAATCAGCGGTGTGACAAAAAAACCCACAAAACAATCAAGCACACTGACCAAACCTCAGGTGAGATGGAAGTGAGGTACCCACAGTAATGGGTGCAATATCTTACAGATGAACTATGGACACCAAAGGCTCCCAGTGATGCTCCCTGCTCTGGTGATAAGGTATGGTCACAGGCCTTCCAACACACAGTCTACTACTGCTAGGATGTTTCACTCATTAAAACTATTAAACTCAAATAAAAGTGCCAGTATAATTAATGAGATCCACTTTGCTTGTCTCAAATGCTGTACAAACCTCAAAGGCCAAGTTAACTGCTCAATTTTCCAAATTCTGCAGAACGTCACTGTAATTACATCACTTTCAATAATTTATTCTAAGTGTTTTATACAAAACTCTCTAAGGAAAAAGTCACAAGAAAACTCTTATTAAATCAACCACTCACAATTTTTGTGAGTCAGCAGCAAGACTGGTTTGTGTTTCCAAGTTATCATACGAAGACACAGTCTGTGCACCAATACACTTAACACATTATTGCCAGTCATACTGTGTGAGGCAGACTGTACGTTCCTGCATTACTGCATTTAGACTGTACATTCTAAATGGGCTTTATAGCCTTTCTCTGACTCATATCAGGCCATATGCAATCAGTGATATGACAACTCACTGTTTCTTGCATCAGAATCCACAAAGTCAAAACATCCATAAAATCACAAATACATCACAATTTAAATGTTTGTTCTAACAGTCTTTATCCACATAAGGTGACTTACTAAAAGCCACTTCAAAGCAGATCCAACTCTTAAGTTTGGTATAACTGAGTCAGGACTGGCCTGGCAAAAAACTGTAACAGAGAAGGGAATCAGCTGCTATTCTACTCTTCAGTAATAYGTAGTGGCCATTTAAAATGGACTTAGGCTAAAATGACATTTTAAACAATGCATCTATTTTGACTCTATCCAACAGGATAAACTCATCATTAAACAATACACGTAAAATAAGTTGCGACTCAAAAACTTATTTTCTCCTATTTTACAAATAACTGTGTTACATTTCATTAGAAATAAACACTTTGAACATTTCTGCATTCACACATTTCATGATCATCATGATTATGGTAAAGACAGAATACTTACAAAGAACAGAAGGCATTAGAATTCACTTACTTTACATTCTGTGGGAGGAGGAGGGGCACAGAGGTCAGATTAAACTACAGTCCTCCGTAAGCCTCCCTTCTGGACAAACCTCAGAACCTATTTCTGAAAGCTGCATAAAGCTGGCCAAGAAATCTAATCTACCCAATTTGTACCACCCAAAGTGTATGGTCACACAAAGTACCCATGAGGCAACACAGCACTGTGGAGAGGCACTCAATGTTTAAGTGACCCAAGCCTACTTAAATGTTTCAAACTCAGAATAACACTAAGAGTCTGGTTTAAATAAATATATAAATAGAGTAATAGAATGGTTTGTGTTGGAAGGAATCTTAAAAGCTCATTTCATTACTACACAGACACACCACCACAGGTAGGGATATCTTCCACTGGATCAGGCTGCTCACAGACCCATCCAACCTGGCCTTGAGCAGTGCCAGGAATGGGGAGSACACAATCTCTCTGGCCAACTTGTGCCAGTGCAGTACCACCTTTAATTTCTTCCTAACATTTAATCTAAATCTACCCTCCCAAAACTAAATCTATCTGCATTACCTGTTATTCTGTATGAGGTTATCAACTTTATACATCCACGTTTAGCAGTTACCACTTGTATTAGGAACACATACCCCTTCACCTGTTATTTTCACTTCTGTGATGAGTTAAGAAGGGAAAAGTTGACACCAGCACCATCAAAAGCCAAAAAACAGATGGGTGTGGATAGCTTCTTACACAGATATACACACTTTCAGTCAGGAATGCTCACCCCACAAAAGCAGCTGACCAAGCCACTTCTTGCAGCACAGCAAATTTCAGGTGACAAGAAAAGAACCATCCTATAAGTTACTTTTATMAATGGAAAAACTTTGCAATTCATCCAGCTCGAGAAGAAGAGCAGTCCTGATTTAGATATCAGGGTGGAAATGGTACAGTGCAACTCTGTGCAGACATTAAGGCTTATGGAGACTTCATTCACGGAGCGGAGATGATAGCACCACGTGGCTGTATTCCAACAYTTGCAAGCAGATTCTAAACAGCAAATAAATATTGGTACCACGTAAAATTGATGTAAAGTCTGGACTCTTGTCTTAACCACAGAGGCTGAAATAGTAGCATCTGAAGAACATTCAAAGGCAAAGATTCTCTGGTATCAGTTTGGTAAATGCCCTGAAGAGGCACTTTCACCACACTTCATCATCAAAGCGAAACAAAGTATTTATCATTGCAGAACTGAGGCTTTATAAAACTTTGTTTAAAAAAACCCAAAAAACTAACAAACAAACAGATCACTGAAATATTTTATACTGTCTTGGGATGAATATTAGTTTTTATCTTCCTGCCTAAAAGTTCAGCTTAAAGACATGTATCCAGCTTCTTTGTAAAAGCCCAATCTTTCAATCCCCACATACTTTTCATTTTTTTTTAATAACCTGGTTATGAGACTTCAATATTTGGGGTTCATTTGCACTAGATTCTACTACTACTACATCTTGTTCTACAGAAGCAAGCCTTAGCGTTTTATACTATTAATTCAGTTTGTGAGGGCAGCGAGCAAACTATTTGCAACTAAGTCTGTAATTTTTAAAAGTATGAAGTATTATTCAATCTTTGCATATTGATAATCAATACAACATTTTTAAGACATCACAGAAATTCTTGCTTAGGGTGGCTCTGAAATAGATAATAGAAACCTGCATTACAAATCCTATGCAACAGTAGCTCAAAAAACAGAAAAAACCTGGAACAATTAAAAGCAATGCTCTTTTTTTTCTGTGCTTTTTCAAAATCTGAATTTGAATCTGTCAGAAACAAATTTTCTGTTTTCCTGCTGATATTCTGCTGCGCAGAAACTTAGCTCCTGTTTAGCCATTGTA